TGTTTCTGAAAACCTGCCCATCATTGTGGTACCCAAACAGCAGAAACTTTCTCTGCTGTACATCCAGCATGTAAAGTCTTTCTCAGGATATTACTAGAGGGAAAAAGGCGGTTGCCAATTCAGTTTTGTTCCAGTTCATTAGTGATTGAAATTCATTACCATCTGACAGATGTACTAAGGGTTATCTATAGTTCTTAGTTGTCTCAGTCCAGTTTTGAGTGGACAGATGTCCACATTCAGAAAAGATGAAACAAAGCAAGTCTGACAACACAGCTACTTTGAGCAACTTCGCTGAAAGTCTCTACCAAGAATGTGGGACCTGGCTGAACATCTGAACTGATCAGTCCTCTTGCTTATCGTGGTAGCCCCACTAGCAGAAAATAGATGGTGTACAAGGAAGCAATGCCATCCTCTGGAAGATTATATATATTTCTTAGTGGGATTGAGAGGTTACACATTTCTCTGTGGCTATCAGTCGAATATGAACTGCGAGTGATACTTTTGCTTCAAAACAAGAAAAATAGCTCCATTCCCTCCAAAGAGAATCGTGTCAGTGGCAGAGCTCTCTATTGCTCCCACTGTTTTTCTCGATGCTTCACCTCATCAGGCTTCTCGGACCTGACAAACTATCAGACTGAAAAACAGAAGAGATGGGGAAGATTTTAATGCATGAGCAAAGCGATGAAAAGTGTCAATCTCGTGCTTCCTATAGTCTTCTAATGACAAGAATGGCATAATATCAGTAAGTAACTAAATCTAGGTGTAGCTAGCCAGTTACTTCTAGTCGTCGTGAGAAAAAATAAATTCCACTTTGTGTACCTTTCTTCAGAAAGCTTGTAGACGCTTACATGTGTTGAGTTAAATTGGTGTTTCGTGATCAAAGACTTAGGTAAACGTTAGGGCTCTACGGGAACTTGTGGTTGGGCTGTGCTGTGGCAGAAAGCCAGGGCCTGTCCCACTGCCCCAGCCAGAAAGCAGGGCAGACTGGGGGGCGGCCAGGGCAGCTCCAGCCCTGGGCATCAGGCACCTCCATGGGGATGGGACGTTAGCCCAAGAGTGGGAGTTGGCTCAGTGGAGCCCATGGCTGGGCCAGGCAGGGCTGCGGTGGAGCAGGAGACTGATTTCTATGGCATTCCTGGGACATGGAACTCCCTGAAATGGGGTCCTGGGCCGTGAGCAGGGGAGACTGGTGGCCATTAAGGCCTGTTAGTCCCTCAGGTCCCTCTCGGTTTCACCCCAAGTCTAGAAGGGATAGATGCCCTTTTTCTGGTGGCACGAGGAAGGTCAGAGTTTGCTTCACAATGTACTTGGGGCATCAGCAATCTTGACACTCCGGTTCGCTTCCAGAACTTGTTCCTGCTATCACATATGTGCAGTTGCCTGTACAGTGTGTGTGCTAGTTCACTCCTGGACTCCCTTCTGGAATATGCTTATGAATTTCCTTAAAGAAGAAACCTACATAGAGTTGCCAGGAGAGTTTGCTTACGGCTGTGCTGCAGATCAGCAACAGAACAGATGTGCCTTGTTTGACACCCAGCACTTGGAATAATCCTGCCCTACTTCAGTAGGCCAGAAACACTCAACCACCACAACGTGCCTTCATGCCATGCCTGAGATGTCACGCTGTGAAAACCTTCCTGCAGTCTGCAAAACAACCCTTACGTTACATCAGGCACTCTGAGCCGGAAAACATGCACAGAAATAATCGTGTCTTTTGGCCACAAGAGTGGTCACTGAAGCTTAGAGAAGAGACAGACCAAATATTATTGCAGTTGGGATACAGATGGACCAGTCTGCAGGGAGCAAGCCAAGATAGGGTAGATGTGAGTCATACGAACTACTTGATTCAGGGGCAACAGCCTACAGTGGCTGTTTTTAGCAGTATAGATGTTGCCATGAACGGCGAGTGCCCTGAAGGATCCACAGAAGTGGCAGCAGAGAATAAACGGGATAATGCCCTTATCTAGCTCTGCATCTGCTCCGTACCAAATGGCCCTGCTTAGCTTTAGTGCGCTACCTCGGTTGGTTGTAGCAGTGTGGCATGTCGTACAGACACTGCGCCCGCTTAGACATCTGTCACCTCTGGCAAGATCTGTGTCAGTAGCGTGGGCAGTCATTCCCAGACATGGATGGTACGTTCATCACTGCATTTTCAAAGTACTTTAGGGTCCTTCACGGTGAAAAATACTCTTTCTATCTGCCTCTATGGCAGTATTTCAGAACTTATAAATGTAAGGTTATTAATATGAGAAAGTAGTATGAAGTGACATTTTTGATTGAAATTGCATCTTTTTACAACTTCATTGTCAAAAATGTCTTCCTAAACATTTTTATCCTCTTTTGCCTCCCACAGACCTAATTTATTTAGTTAGTTAGACACACTGCAATCTGAGAAAGTTGGGAAATACACCACTTCAAAAACTTTTTATAATGCCAACTTCAGAGGTCTTCTGTAATTTTTTCCCTTAGCTTTTTTTTTCTGATAAATAAACAAAAATTGAATAATGACCAAAAAACGTCTCTGTAATGGTGAAATCCATGTTGAGATTACTTAACTTATACTACTAATTCCATTAATTGAAAAAGGATCCCATTTTTCCTGAGACAAAATAATACCAAAACAGGTACACACATATGAATGTACTTGCTGAGATTTACATTGCTTAGCTTTAAAATTGTGACATTTATTTATCTTTTAAATTTTTACAGTTTTATGTTTTAGTTTTTCTCCATAGCCAAGAAGAGCAATACGTTTGTTTATCTCTGTTATGGAAAGCAGAGATTTTATGTAAAAAGCTGGGCTGGAACCAAACTAACAAACAAACAGAAGCCATCAAAAATTATGAGACAGGCAATAAATGAATGGCAGCTGCCAAAGCTGTAGAAACTGTAAATGTGATCAAAAAGTGACAAATTAAGATAGAAAAAGCTGGGCACCTTTTTTTTTTTTTTTTTAAGTTATTTTAACATCATCTGTGCAAAGGAATTTCTTAATTTAATTATGTTTAAATTACATTTTGCACTCATGACACATGCCAGCTTGGCAGTGCTTGAAAGCAAAGGCTTCATTTTAGTGACATAAGGTTCTGGGTCACGGCCTTCTCTAATTTCCTAGTTGTTTTGGAGCAAAAGGAAAAAAAGACCTCCTGGTCACAGCATCTGAGGGGAAAAAAATAGTGTTGGGGTGAAATAGTCCTTCTTTCCTTAAAGAAGAGTTCCTCCCCTGCTTCGGCCTCTTCCCCCATTGCTGCTGACTTGCAAGAGAAGAGGACTAGCTGACGACATGTACTTCCACATCCACCCGTTAACAGGTCTTGCTGTGAAAATGGAGGAGAACGTGCTGGTTCCAAAAGACAATTATCTTTTTATAATATGAGCAGCACATGCTGGGAGAGAGGACCTCTGTCTTGATGCTTCCTCAGGACTAGCGCTGCAGTATATACAGCGAGCTACATCAAAACAGCACTTTTTATACTTTTGTTCAGCAGTGCTGAGAAGTTCAGCGGCTGTGGTGGATCATAAACCACGAACCTCCTCTTTAGGCAGCCCCAGCTGCTTTGCCTACATAGGCAGAATAAGTGTAGGATAGTAATGACGTGTATATTTTTGCCACTTAAAAGTGGCTGCAATCCTTAATAACCCTTGAAACACTAAGGATTGTTTAAAATCATGTTATTATTTACAATATGTAAGTTGTGGGTGATTTTTGGTTGCCTGTGTCAGATGTAGAGTCGTTCTGTACTTAGATTTTACAATTTTGGTTTCTGTTAGGTGATGACCACTGATCAACCAGTGCTGCTGACAGCTGAGACTTCAGGAAAAAAATAACAAATGAGCAAAAAATACTCCCAAAGTAAGCATGGTGAGACTTATGATAAAATCACCATGATGAATTCAGCGATCAGCCTGTAATGTCCACATCCTGCACAGTGTTCGCTGCATGGTGGTCGAAGACAACTGTCATTTCTACTGGGCCTTCTTCAGAGCTGTCAGTAACATAAAGCAAGAATCATTAATTCTAAAATTACCCAGCGTGTGACTACCCCTGGAAAAATGTAAGGTGTACAGTCTGTAAGCCTCACAGAAGTAGCACCTGCCTTCCAGGGCACAGAAAGGTTTTGGAGATGAGGGATTTGTCTGCAGCGTGAAGAATCGCAGCCTGAGAAGATAGCGTGAGATCTAGGTAAACTGCTGGAAAACCGAGCAAGAGTCAGAGCCTTGAAACCTTCAGACACATCACCCTGGAGGCTGCTGCCGCGCATCCCAGCCCTCGCCGCCCTCAAGTGGGGCAGGCAGCCATCTCGCACCCAGCTGGAGCAGCGGCCATCTTGCGTGCCGTACAGCCGGCAGCAGCCATGGTGGTGAGGGGGACGCGGGCGCAACCCTCCTGGGGCCGCCCACTCGGCTGACTTAGGCCGGCGGCCATCTTGGTAAAGGGCCGTTACCGCGGGAGGCGGCGGCGTCCCGGCTCCTTCCTCCCTTCAGCAAGATGGCGGCGGCGCATGCTCAGAGCGGGGCGGCGCGCAGGGCCCAGGCGGCGCGGCGCTCATGCCCGCGGGCTGTTGTGGTGGAGGGCTCGGGCGCCGCTGAGGCGGCGGGCGGGGACCGGCGGCAGCCATGGGCGAGACCGAGAAGCTTTGTTATGTTTATAGCTGCGACCTGGACATCAACGTGCAGCTGAAGATGTGAGTGGGGGGGCTGTGTGGGAAGCGGCCCGGCCCCTGCCGGTTTGGGGGAGGCTGGGCCGCCCGCTCACCGGAGCTGCGCTGGGTCCCGAAGCCTGGCTTCCCCGCGGGAGTCCGGTTACGGGGCGGTGCTGGTTCTGTCTCCCCTCGCCGGCACCGGGAGCCCCTGGATGCCGCCGCCTGTTTCCCTCAGGGCTCCGGGCCGGGCGGAGGCAGCGCGGCCGTGTCGGCGTCCCCTCAGCCCCGCCGCCGAGCGGTGCTGTGGGGAGGGGACGGGCAAGGGACAGCGGCGGCAGCAGGGCCATGGGTGTAAGCTTTGCCCTAAACACCTCAGAAAGGTTCGTGGTCCCGCAGTGCAGGACCGTGCTTCAAGGCAAAGATTGGTTTTCAGTTCAGCGGTGATGTCTCTGATAACATTTCACCTGCTGGTGTCACAGCTCACCCCTCAGTGTTAGGGGAAGGAGGTGAACTGGGGACACTCTTTCCTACTTGTTTACGTGCTCCTTTGAGAGCAAGTTGCTCTTAGTCGGCTTCTTTGTTGTAGACAGATCCAGGTGCTGCAACATGTAAGTATGTTCCTAACTGGGTATGTGTAAGCACTCTTCTTGAAGCTGGTGTTATTACGCGCTGATGTATTTGCTGGTTAATTTTGAAGTTTGGGATTTTTCTGCATCACAGCAATGGGATGTTTACATTTGCATAGGAGAGACGTGGCTGGCTCTAAAATGTATACCTGATGTTGCTACGTTGCACTTTTTTTGAAAACTAACTTGGGGAAGCTTATTCGGGGGTTGTTTAACTTCTGAATGGAAGGTGATACCTGAAGTCAGATGCATGTGTATTTTTTGCGTGTGTGTGTGTGCATCAGAGTGTATGTCGTCCTGGAATGTGCTATGCTAGTTTCTTGCAAGAAACTTGTTCATCTAATCTGAAGTGTTCTTGTGGTACTGATAGATTATTTTTTTATCCTAGAAGATTGATTGTAAATGTTTTCCCATCACCACCACAGTGTCTTTTTTGTTTTCACATGTACATCCACAGTCAGATATTTAATATGCATGATTGTTTTCATCGTGATATAGCTGAGGCCTGAGAAAATCCATCAATTTACTCATAATGCCAGCACTCTGCAAATTGTTGCAGGGCTTCAATCAAGTTTGATTTGAACAGTCTGCTTAGTTGAGCTTTGATTTGTTGTTGATTTGAGAGACAGCTGGCATCCAAAGCCAGTCATATGTTTCACATTTCATACAGTTTAAAAATAAGGCTTTTCTTGTGTTGGTTCTTTTTTTTCCAAATAGTATTTGAGCACATGTGATCTGGTGTTTGGTTTGTTTTTTTTTTAATAGCATCATATGTTATCTCATTGTTGCCCTGCTTAAGGTACCTCATTTGATCCTGTCTGAGAATCCGCAGGTTGTACTAGAAGAAGTTATCTCCATTGAAAAGACAAAACAAGTAATTCTTCCCTTCTCTGCTCCCCCCCCCCGCTCCAAATCAGCATAGAAATAAATTCTGTATTTGTTCACCATTTCACATCCTGAGTTCCGCTCTGATATTTGGATTTCACTACCGACTAGTAATGCAAAGTGAGGATAGCCTCAGTACTGGGTAATCTAAATATAAGCTATGGAAATAGAACAGGATTTTTATTGTGGATGAAATAAATTCTGGTTTGTTTATCCCCCCCTCCCCTGCAGAGGAAGTCTGGAAGGGAAGAGAGAACAGAAGAGTTACAAAGCTCTCTTAGAAGATCCGATGCTGAAGTTCTCAGGACTCTATCAAGAAACTTGCTCTGACTTGTATGTAACTTGTCAGGTGTTTGCAGAAGGGAAGCCTCTTGCTCTACCAGTTAGAACTTCCTACAAGGCTTTTAGCACTAGGTGGAAGTAAGTGACTGGCTTTTATTTCGTATTCCTTTTAGTTACTGGGGCATCAAGTTATATAAATAAATATGTATGTTTTTTATTTCTGTCAGAAGAATTTGTTTTCTATTGTATTCCTCAAATAACTTCTGTTTCTTCAAGTCTCTGTATGGTTATTAAGTGTTACCCTGACAGCACAAAACCAACCTTTTTGTGTAATGGGTAAGTGATAAAATTGTTACTTGCGTGTTTGGGCATGGCTCACTACTTAACTTCTGGGGCCTCGACTAGCATGTTTTCATACTATTTACTGGACAGACTGATCTTTGGTACTTAGTCTCAAGCCAGAGTATTTCTCCTTGGTCTCTAGACTTTTAATCATGCTCAAGACAAGTATTTGAATGGTTAAAGCCCACAGGAAAATAGTCCATCTGCTCTTAGAAAGTCATATTCTAAGGAGAATCTGGGTTGTATAAACTAATACAGAGTAACTTGAATTCTAAAGCTTTATGACTAATAAAAAGTGTTTCTCTGCAGCTGGAATGAGTGGCTGAAACTGCCTGTGAAGTATCCGGACTTGCCTCGCAATGCACAAGTGGCTCTGACCATCTGGGATGTATATGGACCTGGTAAAGCAGTTCCTGTGGGAGGAACAACAGTCTCGCTCTTTGGGAAATATGGGTATACTGCTTTTTCTTCTATGATACAGATTTGAAGCTTACTTGTGAATAGTAAGGTAGCAGTGGTTATGAAAGGGTTTTTTAATTTATTTTTTTAAACAAAGTTAACAGTTCCATGTTTGCAAAATCAGATACATGGATGATTTACTCTATTTCCTCCTGACTGTAACTTCATACATGCTACAGTGTTGTAAAAAAAAGTCTTCTCTTGTATAACACCAAAATTTATGCTTTTAAAAAAAAAAAAACTGTAATCTTGGATTTTAAGGTAGCAAATGCTGAAATCATTTATACTTTTGTAATACATGGATGCCAGTACTGATTACTTAACGTAATTGATTTAATTGGCTTGCAATTGGGCTGTTAATAATACAATATTATTTAGGAGGAATAAAGTGTAACTCAGTAAATCAGGAGTTTTCAAAATTAATAATCTGTGATCCAATAGAGGGTGAGTTTAGTAAATTTGTGGATGATAACACTAAGATGGGAAGGATTACAGGTGTGCTGAAGGTGAACAATGCATCAAAAAGATCTTGACTAAGTGCAAAGGGGACTGAAAAAAAGTAGGATGCAGTTTAAGGAAAAGTATGAGGCGCTGGTACTTTTTGCAATTGATTGTAGTCAAATACAGAATAGAGCAGCTGCCCAAGAAAACAGAGGAAAAGATTTGTGTTTTGGAGTGAATCTTAAGTTTTTCATGATTCAGCATGGTGATGCTCTTGTGAAATGTGTGAACAACATTGAATATATGAACAATTTACAAGTATGCGCATCAGGGAAAATGTTGTATCCTCTATACTTGCCCACTTGTCTGGGATATGTTCAGTTCTATATAACTGACTTTAAGCAAGTTGCTGACTACTGGGAGTCTAAGGGAGTCCATATCATTGAACATCTACCAAATAGGTGTGATGGAGCAGGAGTGAAGACTAGTGAGGCTGAAGAAAAGACTGTAAGAACACTTTTCTAGTATGTAGGTAGTGCTGGAAAATGGGGAGAAAGAGCCTTTTTTGTCTTGTCAGTGGATAAGAAGTAATAAGGCTAAACTGAAGTGCAGGAAAAGTTTAGGTTAACATTAGGAAAGCTGTTCTAGTGATGCTTGAATGCAGAAAAATGACTGTAGAGAGAGGTGGTATCTGTCACTGAAGATACTGCTTTGACAAAAAGATTGACATTGTCTTAGGGCAGAAAATTGAACTGGTTCAATTGGGCTCTGTCCCAAAGACTGCTGGTAGTTTTTAAAGCATTAGAGCATAGCTCCTGGAAAAAGATACAATATTTATAAATTAAATTTACTTTTATTTCCAGCATGTGGGGCCTGGGGGAAGTAGACAGACAGAAAGAAACAAATAATTGTGGAATTTTGTATTTGCTTGTAAATGCAAATCCTTACAGTAGTATTCCAGAAATTGATGTGTAAATTCAAGGACAGGTGGTCTGGTCCTTCTAGTTGGTTTTTCTCACTTTCAGTGGTTGACTTTTTGAAGTGTTCCTTCCAGTTATATTTATCTGAAGTTGTTAGAGTTAAGTGATCGGCTCTTATTGGCAAAAGTAATGCACTTGATTTCTTGGAGCATTTTTTATAGGTGGATCAGCACAAATATGCAAGGGAAGCAGGGTTTTGCAGAAAAAAGATGTGGTCAGTTACCCTGCAAAGTTCTGTTCACTGCATAGTTTCAATTACTAATTCAATTTCAAGCATAGATGGAGAAAATGGTGTGTTGAGGGTTGTGTGGGGTTTTTTTTTTGGTGGTGGGTGGGGTTTTTGGGTTTTTTTGGCAGCTCAGAAGGCTGCTTTATATCAGTTGACCTTCAAATGAAACTTAGGTAGTTTTTTAGTTGAATTTTTTTTCAGACTGGCAGACCTAAAGTCAGTATTATAATTTGCAAGTCAAGAGGAATACTTTCTGCTTCATTACAAATAAAACTATGAAGGTCAAGCTCTGTCCTCAGTTTGCGTTTGTACCACCCCACTGACTTTGGGAATTACCCATTTTTCTTCCACTTGCCAAATAAGTTATCTCAGAGGTACTCATTTTCTTCTAAACTCCACATGCCAATAAATATGAAGGCTGTAGAGGGCACAAGGTGCAAGACACTTTGCAGTTCAGTTAAATTATGCATGACAGTGCATGATTGCGGGTTTGGCCAAGGAAGCTACTTCATTTTCTTGCAGCTGCTGCTGCACTTTGATTCCTAACAGCTGTATTATTTTGAATGTACTGAAGTGATTCTGCATTTTTCCCTACAGTATGTTTCGTCAAGGTATGCATGATTTGAAAGTCTGGCCCAATGTAGAAGCTGATGGCTCGGAGCCCACCAAAACTCCTGGGAGAACCAGCAGCACAGTCTCTGAAGATCAAATGAGCCGCTTGGCAAAGGTAATGGAATAGCAAGTAAGCTTTAAGATGTATGTGAAAAGTTTGCACTTTCACTGGAGTGAAATTAAGACAGGCTTTAATGAAAACAGGTGTCTTGTGTTGGTTTCTCATGTGAAAGCTGTCTTCCTTTGATTGGTTAGATATTTCACAGGATTTATACAAATGAGTAAAATAGATCATACTCATTTGCTTGTGAAGTATTTATTAAAAGGGGACATACAAATACCTTTTAATATACATAGCATTCTGTTGTAACAACTTAACATCCTAATTCTTTGTAAAGAATGAAAATACGAAGATGCCTTGAAGATGCTTGAAGCCAAAATTCCATCAGGTTCAGTAAGAGCAGCTCCTGACAGTAACTTGTGAGGACAGCCTAGTTTCTTTCAGTAGCCATCCTTTAGATTTAAGGCTGTCTGATGTAGTGTTCAGATGTGTATGACATACCTCTACATTAGAAAGAATTTGAGTAGAACTGCAAAAATTAAACTAAGTTTCATTCATTTAAGCTCATGAATATGTGTATATATTAGTATTTTCTTCTCCCAGCTTGATGGCAGAGTGTTTTTTTGGCATCAAAACTACTTCTGGAATTGATCAGTAAATATTCATTCTTGAACTGTTTTACTAGCAGATCTTTCTCATTCTTCAGGTGAGCTTACCCCAAGTTTGCCAAATTGTTCAGCTCATTTACCCAGTGTGCTTTCTTCTTAATCTTGGTCTCCTAATTTTCATCCTCACCTTTATGCAACTCCCAGTGAAAGATAGGTCCAGTGCCCTAAATACGTTCATTTTCTCATCTAGAGATTTATCACAGCAATAAACTAACTTTCATTTAGGGTATCTCTTTTATTAGTCTAGTTCACCTTGAATTTATAATGGAAAACTCTTTAAAGCTTTTGCCAGTGGTGGTGCCCCATTTCTTGATCATAGTAGAATAAATCGCATTTAGCCTAAGGAAGCTCTGCAGACAGACCCTAAATATCAAGGCTTGTTTATAGTTCATCAAACGGTTACATGATGTAGGCAGTGGGTCTCTGAGAAAGGATTTTTAGAGTCTAAGCCTTCCCTTTCACGTTAGTTCTGTTATGCAAATATGACCATGCCCTACCAGTGTTTTCTCTCCTCTTCCCTTCACTCCCTTATGCTCCCTAGCTCAAGAAATACAAATAATGTAGAGTATTTCAGTCTTAAAATACCTGGGTCTGTTCTAGACCGTTCTTTTGGCATATGGGAGATGAGGGCTCAAAGCCTCTGAGGAAGAGGAGGGAATTCTCCTTTCGCATCCCAGTTGAGAGTCCTAGTTAATGGCTAATGAAATGCTAATAACATAGCTGCCGTCATTCTTCTCTCCTGAAAGCTGTTTTCGGAGATACTAATTTCTGAAAGATGAGAGTGTTTTCACTGCTGCTTTGTTGTGTTCATTTATAAAAACATTTTACCAGCAATGCTAGCAAAGTGAATAGGGTTTCTGGATAGCGTGTCTATGAGAGCTTTCATTTGCACAGCTGTTTACACAGCAGATGAGGTTCTTGTGATGTATCATTCCTAAATAGCCATTGTTTGAGCACAGTCAGCTTCAGTTTTTCTATGACTTACTCCTCAGTTGCTGAATGTCTCCTGATGCTACTGTATGTGCAGGTATATTTAAATACTGGTAAGAGGAGCAGGACTAATTAAATGCAAGATGACTTTGTGTGGACTTTGTTATTCTTAGGGTTTTTTTCTGTTTATTGCACAGACTTACCATTTATAAGTGTCATGCTATTGATTGATGTCTCATACCAGAGGCCAAACTAGAGTCCGCCAGATAATAAGTAACTTTTGAGAAGAGCTTGTTGAAGGACCTTTTCTCCATCTAAAGGATAACTTTTTATTTTCTTGACATGCTTCTGAGTTTGTGTGGTATTTATTATTATAGGGAATTTGTATAAAATCAATGACTGGCTGCTGGAGGAGTTGCATCCTTTTACCTTAAATAATTGATACTATGGCAAGTCTCTCATTTCATGTTGAAGTGCCATATGGTTGTGGTCTTACAAAACACATGGATGTTGATTGTAAAATTGCTACTGATGAAAAAGCCATGGCTTTGCATCCTCAGGGTCATTGTGAATGCAGATTCTTCCTGTACTAAGGAATATTAATGGGAAGAGCGTGGAATACCTTAGCATGCTCAAATATTAATGACATTAAGATGTTTCTCCCATGAGTGTTGTGTTAATTTATTCTACTTAAACAAAAAGTATTCTTAAGTTCTTTTTGATTCATTCATTTCCCTCACACCTGCTGCTGGCTGAATGAAATTAGATAATAACAATGGTGAGATAGTATCTAAAAGGATGCCTCTTATTTAGTAGCAGATGATGAATGCTTCTTTCCCTGAAGGGAACGCACGAGCTTCTCTCTTATTTTAAGCTTTAAATATTAATCCAAGAGAACGGTTCTTCATGTGTGTGTGTATATATATATGCCTACAGATCTTCTGGGTCTTGTATGCAGGCCTAACTAGTTGCTGTATTATGACTTTTTTCCTCTCTACAAGGGAGGTTTGCAGGTTTAAGAGATTAATGATTTTCCTCTAAAACTACAGAATGACTTTTTTTATTCTCTAGTGCAGTGAACAACAAAATAAACTAAGAATTTGTGACCAAGATATCTATAACTTTTTTTTGCCAAAGCTTTGATTAAGTGCTCTCCTAAATCTGTGTATCAATGCTGGATGTGAATATGTGGTAGTTGGACAATTTTGATGCATTGGTTCAAGGTAGTGGAAATAAGAAGGCCACCTTGAGTAAGAAAAAATACTTTTGTTAGATTAAAAAAAAAAAAAAAGCAGGGAGTAATTTATAAGTGGCTAAAATGGTGGACATGTAAGGGTAAGGAATTTCTTCATTGCTGAGAGTGAGAAGACCTTTTCTGTGAACTAGGTAGGACATTTGTGAATGTGTTTAAGTGATCATATCCAGCCTGCCTGGAACAGCATTTTGGGTTATAGCTGATCTGTGTGTTGCTGGTTCTCTACCTTTGAAATATATTATAAAGTCACATAGGAGGCAAAGGCCAAGTCTTGTATTATCCTGTTAGTACAGTCCTGGCGCATTTTGTCTCTGTAATAATGCTGAGATAAAGTTTGATGAACTGGCTGCAGAATATAACGTAAGATAGCAAAAAGTTATTACTATATTGTGCTCCTGTTAACAATCCTGCTGATAAGTTGAAAGAACTGAAAGACTGGTTATACTCAGCATCCTGAAATGTTAGTAAGGATTATACTGTGCCGCCTCCCCCCTCCCTTCCTTTTCCTTTTGTACTGTTAAGTTTCTGAAGTTTATTGAAGCTAATCTGAAGATTAGCTGTCCCAGAGTTTACTGGAGACAAAACAAATGAAAAAAAATCCTTACTATATACTGAATGGAGTTAATTAATTCTTAGAAGTTGTAGTGGTTTTCCAAAGTTTGCATCAAAATCTTATTACTTCTGTCAAGCTATACTGTGGTCTAGAGCTTAAAGAAATGTTAGGTGAATCAGCTGCTTTAAGCGAGCAATATCATAGTCATTATGGGATTGTGGTTTTGTGTTTCATGGAATGAGTTCAGGACAAAGGGCATCAGATTCTCATGGCTGATTTACTCTTCAGTGCTTCTTGAAATGGCCAGTTCCTAGCAAATCTGGAAATAAATTTGGTTTTTAAAAAAGGCAGGATTTTCCTCCCAGCAGAATAGCTTTTTGACTGCTTTTAAAATTGTGACTGCTTTTAATTAGTCCTTTACTTTGGTGGAGCCACTAACTATAGTTGAGGATTAATATTCAGTGGAAAAATTTAAATCTCATCACTAGTAGACTTAGTAGGAACCAAGAATCAGAAAAGCTGAATTAGATAACATATCTGAGAAATGAGCAACCATTGGCATTCAGAGCTAAACATCATGCTTGCTTTCATAAGTAATTGCCTTAAAATTTAATTCAGATCTTGAGAGGGTGCAGAGGCCGTGGTGTGGGCTGTAGTGTATTCCAACTCTTACTGACATAAACTGTTTCCAAGAAAACTAAATTAATTGGGAGGGTTTTTTCCTGCTTAGAAGTGGGAACCAGTATCCAAACCTGTTAGACCATAACACCAAATTAAACTCTGGGGAGGTGAATAAGAGAAAAAGAACCCCCAATGACCTTGTCTTAAACAGCAAGAAGTCACTTTGTGGAAAGTGAACAAGCAAGATGGTTTGCTGTTGTTGGATATGAAAGGACAGTTGATCAAGTTGTTAAAAGACAAGGTTTAAATGCTTACCAGCTGATCTTTCACAGATCAGTTCCACTGATACAATAACACCTGCAGGGAGACTGCAGAACACTGAAATTTCATTTCATTAATGGCTTTAATGGCTGTTTATAGTCTTTTGGAGACTATACGATTATTTGCCTGTTATCTCAGCATTACTTCTAAGAGATGTAAAAAGCTATGTGATTCTGCATAATTTCTGAAGCTTGGCTTCTTGAGAGTTTGTCATGTATGAACTCTCCAGGTCAGTCAGGATCTGTACCTGGATGTGAAGTTGATGCTCCTTCCAGAGTATATCATGATGGGGTATGTATTTAGCCCAGGTCATCCTTGGTGTGCAATAATACTTGTGCCCATACTGCTAACACATCAGTTTACTGGGGATTTGAGTGAGAATAATGAAACAGTATTACTGGTGCAAACTCTTAACCTTTTTTTCTTCAGAGTGATTTTTTTTTTTTTTTTCCTGTCTCTTGTGGTGAGCTACTGAAAGTCTCGTGCAGGTATCTGACAAGCTATGTAACCTAGACAACTCCCAGTATATTGCAAGTCTTAAGTCTTCTGTGTCTTTTTTTTTTTGTAGTAACCTGATCTTTTTTTTGTAGTAACCTCATCTCCAGTTCTGTATGGAAGAAGCAGGCTGCTGTGTTCTCCTGCATACAATACCTTCCATTCATATGCTCTCCTAGTTCTCCTTGTATATTGCCTGTCCCCTAGCTGTCAGCTGGGCAAGAAATGGCAATTGGTGTGACTGTGTGGCCTGTTCAAATTTAAATGCTCATGGGTTGGCAGGGTGACCACAGAACAAAGCTGGTGGAGTATTAGTTGTAACCCTTCCCTTAATAGGAATAATTTTGAGGGTCTCTTCACTGGCCATTTTCTAGACAGTGATTTCTTTGAAACATGAAAAAACTTGATGTCTTCTAGTTCCTTTGCATCTCTTCTTGCATGCTACAAGAATTACTATTTTTTTAAGGAACACTTGTGATTTCTTGGGAGCCAGAAAGACGATTTTTTGTTCATATTTGTGTGGTGGTCTGCTGAATTTTTCATAAACTATTGTGTGTCAGTGCATCTGAAACTACAGGTAGTATGGCTCATATCTTGCTTATCTGCCCTTCCACTCTTCTAATGTTAGGTAGTCTTTTAAACAACTTCCTTGCTATTAGTACAGCAACATGTAGATGTAGGAGTAAAACTTTTAACTACTTTTCAGGTGACTAAAAAGAAAGGGAGAACAAGCTCTCTATGATTTGCTGTAAGTATTCAGCTGACCTTTTGCGGTGTGTAAGTCCTGGCCTGAAAACTTGTTTAGGTAAGGTTAACAAGGGCAGAAATACTCAATTTGGATAGTTTTTGAAATATCTTCTTTTTCTTTGGCTTGGTAAGTTTTACTATATGAAACTTAGTAACTCAAAAAATGAAATATATTTGTTACGTGACTTTGCTTAAAAAAAAAAGTTCCTGTTTTTAATGTGTTAAAAATGCAAAGGTGATGTGCTTGGAACATGGTTTTGGTCTTTGCCTTGATTGCGGTTTTAGATAGTAGAATTACTTTTATGGCATGGCTTAGCTGTTTACAAGCATCTACTGTGTGTGTACTGTACAAGCATTTTTTTCCAGTTCCTTTATTTTTTCCCCTGATTTCATGTTAGTGTCTCTGTTAAATTATAACTTTGATACTATTCTTGCTGTGAACAATTTAAATGTTATCATTGTGGTTTTTTGTGCAGCTCACCAAGTCTCATCGGCAAGGTCACATGGTAAAAGTGGACTGGCTGGACAGACTGACATTTAGAGAAATAGAAATGATCAATGAGGTAGGTCATCATACATCACGGTAGTAACTTATATTTTTTTGGATCTTGCTAAATCAGAACCTTTGCTTGGTTAGGGGACTAAGTTGAAGTACTTGTCCTATTTTTCTTCAGCTGTCAGTGTATATGATAAAAGGAAAAAAAATTCTTGTAAGCTTCCAAAGTTGATTTTACTTTGGCAGTAATGAGACTCATAGAATCACAGAATAGTTTTTGTTGGAAGGGACCTTTAAAGGCCATCTAATCCAGCCCCCATGCAATGAGCAGGGACATCTTCAACTAGATGAGGTTGCTCAGAGCCCCATCCAAGCTGACCTTGAATGTTTCCAGGGATGGGGTGTCTACCACCTCTCTGGGCAAACCTGTTCCAGTGTTTCACCACCCTCATTGTGAAAAATTTCTTCCTTTTATCTACTCTGAATATACCCTCTGTTTAAAACCATTACCCCTTGTCCTATCGCTACAGGTCCTACTAAAATGTCTGTCCCCATCTTATGAGCCCCCTTTAAGTGCTGAAAGGCCACAATCAGGTCTCCCCAGAGCCTTCTCTTCTCCAGGCTGAACAACTCCAACTCTCTCAGCCTGTCCTCATAGGAGAGGTGTTCCATCCCTCTGATGATGTTTCTGGCCCTCCTCTGGACCCTCTCCAACAGGTCTATGTCTTTTCCTGTGCTGAGGACCCCAGAGCTGGATGCGGTACTGCAGGTGGGGTCTCACCAGAGCGGAGTAGAGGGGCAGAATCACCTCCCTCGACCTGCTGGCCATGCTTCTGTTAATGGAGCCCAGGATACGGTTGGTTTTCTGGGCTGTGAGTGCACATTGCCAGCTCATGTCCAGCTTTTCATCCACCAGAATAAACAGCTGTGTTACAAGTTTTCAGCTTTAATTGAACTTGATCATGAAAGACAGGACTTATTAATAATTTGGAATAGCTTTGAACAAATGCTGTTAGGTATGACTAGTTTAACTCTAGGATTTAGATTGTGATGGGAAGCTTTTTGGACATACAGTCTGTTCCTTGGTTTTGAGACCTGTCCAGCTTTATTGGTTTTGATTTTGGGTGCTGAGGAAAAACTCTTGGAAGATTTGAATGAATATTTAAAAAAAAAAAAAATCCAGTAGTTAAATATCTGAATGAGGTGTTAACCCTCATTGAGCAAAATCGCCTCCAAACTGTGAACTGATTATACTCATCTTGCACAACAGAACTCTGTTATTTTCTGCTTTGCGCTCTGAGATTTTTGTTGTCTTATTTATAATTAGACCTCTGGGAATCATATTCTTTTTGAAGTTAAATTTGTGCTTTTATAAACCCTTATGAATTTGTTTTTTAAGAACTCAGCTTATCCCACCCCTTTTTTTTTCCCCGCCTTCCCTTTCTGTAAAAATACAGAAAACTAAAAATTCCTGATTCCTAGAGCTGTGCAATTAAGTTCAGAACCACTTTGCCTGTGCTGGGAAGGTAGTCCACTATTAATGCATAAAATGAACTTGAGTTGCTCATGATTAAAGGTGATGCTTATTTTTTATTAAATCTATGTTCCTGGTGGTGGCTATGTGTAACTTCTTTCTTGTTTCCCACGTAGATTTTAAAATTCTAAGCACTTTTTCTAGGTAAAGCATTTCAGAAATGCATACGTGAGCAAATCTTCCTCCAAAAGTGAATGAACTGCAAATCTAATCTCATAGTCCATGTTTAATATCTCTCTTTCATGTTGTTATTTAAAAAAGTGTCTTCTGGTTTTTGACTCTGACATGCATAATTGTGTGTAATGATTTTAAAAAAAAAACAAACAAACAAACAAAAACCGCGGTTGTCATCTGGTTATTCTTCACTGCCGTTTTTCAGACCTTCAGCCCACAGTTGCAAGTCACTGAAAACAATGTGATTTTTATCTGTTAAATGTGGGTGTTTATCATGAAGTAGGAATGTGAGCAAGTAAGAATATCAGGAAGAAGGTGATATGGCTTCAAGTAGTGCCATGAAATGATTAACTGAATAATTGCTACAACAACTGATAATCTAATTAATCAGTTACAGCACAAAGGAAGTAAGGTAATTGCTGTAGTGAGAATGCTGAAGATTGATGCACTTTAATGTATGATGCACATCTGTGGTGGTTCTCTTCTCAGAGGGAAAAACGAAGTTCTAATTTTATGTACCTGATGATTGAATTCCGTTGCGTCAAGTGTGATGATAAAGAATATGGAATAGTTTACTACGAAAAGGTATGTGCCTTGCAGGCTTTATGGTCTTCTTTAAAAAGCAACATATGCATCTAAAATGGATGGGGTTTTCTGCTGAGGTGAAATATTCTGCTGCAGGATAGTGGCAGACAGCTGTCAGTGGCAACTGTTTATGTACGTACAAATCAAGTAGTACAGATGCAACAAGATTGCAGAAGTCAATCATTTGTGTAATACAGTTCAAGATTACAGAATTTAATAAGTGTGAGTGATTAAAAACTTTTTGATTTGTGATTCCTTCAGTCCTCCAGTAGTACTTTCAGAGTAGCTGTCTGTAAAATTATGTCTTATATCAGAAAGAAATGTACCTGTATTGATTGGTAACTTAACTCTTACAAAGTTGTTAAAACTTTGCACAGGAGCTCTGCTGGTGAACATTTTATCTAAAATGAACAAATGTAAAAGTTCAGTCTTCCATGCTGAAAATGCTTGGGAAGTCATTTAAGTGAAAGACTTCTGGATTGGAATGTCTTGCATCTTTTCTTCCTCTTTACAAAACAGATCTCCAAAGCAGTGCCTTCAGTGTTTTGTATGAGTTCAAACCTAATGGAAAAAAGGATTAACAGTGAGTTTAACAGACATCAGTGTGGCACTGGAAGGCATTATCAGTACTTTTATGGACCTCTGTATTGTGGAAAGACCTACTGAAATAGAAAAAGCAGTGTATCTCTAATCTGGTTTCAAAAAAAATTTGTCATTAATTGCCTCTTAAAATTTTCAGCATGTTTAGATTCATAAGAAGTCAGGAAGTTACTGAATAATACAGCTTTATGGGAAAGAGAAGGTACAAAAAGAGACTGGAGTCCTGTTGAGATCAGAGGCATTAACTTTAAGGAACATCTATTCTGAGAGCTTAAAAAAAAATAAATCTAGCTCAGTATGCAAAATGTTAATACAATGGAAAATGGATTACAAGTATTTCTATGTATGTGACAACACTACCAGTTGATCTGGACAGAAGAAGTGTGATCTAACTTAAGATTCTTGAGGAAGGTAGTGAAAAATACAGTAATAAATTGCAAAAAGCAGGATTCCACCAAAAAAAAAAAATCTGAGAAGGCATAGATCAGAATCTACCTCAACTGTGTGATCTGGTGCAAGTTAAGGCTTGTGAGTGTTTGAAAAAGAACTGTTTATATGCTATTAATGTAGCCCTTTGAATTAAGGTGTTATTGAATATCTGAAACTATTAATAGTAGTCTTGGCACTAATTTTAATAGAGATGCCTCTATAAAAGAGGCTGTTATGATTATTTTTCAAATTGCTGTAGTCATAAAAAAAAAAGAGTGGCTGTTTAAGAAATTTTCTAAGCCCTTTTAAGAGCTGTGACTTGCAGACATGATATAAGCATAATGCATGCGGATGTCCACGCTCTATCTACATATCCCATATAGTGGTAGCTGCCTTTGTGATGCTTCTGGAGGAAATAGGAGTTCCACTTGGCACTTAGTGTCTCTTCCTGCACTCTGAGGCAGGGGTGTGTTTTGGGGGAGGGAGTTTCCTGGGTTTTTTTGGTGTGTTTTTTTGTTGTTGTTTTGTTTGGTTTTGTCTTTGTGGTTGGTTTTGGGGGGGGGGGAGTGGTGGTGGTTTGATTTTGGGTTTTTGGGGGGGGGTGTGGGTTTGGTTTTTTTCAGTGTTGGTGTGGTTTGGGTTTGGGGGGGTAATTTTGGTGAAACTGTGCCTTAGGCAGATGTCTTGGTTAGCTCTTTAGCATTTCTTTTTGCAGGCTGTAGTTGACAATGAGACCTCTCCCCACCTTTCCAAGTCTTTTTCCCTTTAGAATAGCTTGTTTCATAGTGCTCCTATACACTTATCCTAGAAGCAGCTATTGTAGAGGACCTTACTATCACAAAACTCCCTTGCGTTGTAAATCAGAATGAAACCTACAATGTGTCAGATTCCTCCAATAAACTAAATAAAGTTACTTCTGTGGAAATCAAGGAAATACTTTTCTGGAGAGCATAATAGAGTGGGATCAAAATATTGAAACATTTTACTAACCCATTGGCTTTTTTCTTTAGAATGTGCTGTACTTTTTTTCACAGGTGCAAACTGATGAGCATGGCTACTGTGTGGCTCTGTGTCCTCTTGGCTCTTATATTTTTATAGTTCAGTGTGATGTTCCTAGAAATGATTTTTCTCCCTCACCTCCAGAAACCTGCCATTATAGATGAATTACTCCTGATTTAAACGCACAGCTTTTTTTGTCGTCATTATGGTTTTACATATGTGCAAGGTGCAGGAAAGAAGATTAAGACTTGAAGCATGCCTCTTGCTTTTAACAGATGTTTCTGAAACATATTAAAAGTGCATGGAACAAAATAACTATGAATTGGCTGCTCTTGTGGAAATAAAGTAATTGAATGTGTAATAGTACATATTAAAGCTATAACTAAGTGCAGTTTGAGGGATTTGTTGTTATGAAGTAGCTTTTCAACAAGTTCTTGACCCTTTTCTGGCAGCAGTAGGAAACGGTACATAAATTAGTGCCTGTCTTCTCAGTTTTGTCATGCTTCCAATTACAGTGTACAGTATATGTATCCAGCATCACCAATCCAGTATATTGAGTCTAATGAAAGTAGGTTCTGTTGTCACCTGCCTGTGACCGATAGTCGAAGTGGAGATTACTTGTCACAGTTTTGTTGATAAATTTGTTTTCAAGTGTTTACGAAGAACTAGCCTGTTAAACAGTGGCTGATAGAATTTGAGATTCTTTGACTCAACATTCAATTACAATGAAGTGAAGTGGCAGTGGCTCTTTCCATGTTCTCTGTTAAATTAATTCTAATACAGCATTCAAGACGTGAAGTATAGCAGTCTGCTAGTAATGAGAGCATTGCTTCTGATTCTTCATTTAGGCAAAAACTCAGTGTGACTTTCCAAGTGCAAATAACACCAGCACTTACCATTTATGTGGTTTTGTGCAGGTTTCAAGTGAAACCTTAGTTTGAATAAATTGATTGCACTGCTGCATCCAGTTCATTTGGAAAAAAAAAAATAGCAGTCTTGATTATCAGAGCCTTTTTCATGGCTTGAAAGAAAGAAAAAGTAGTGTCTACAGCATTGGGTGTCCGTTTACTTTTTGTGGGGGAGAAGTTGGATCCCATTGGTGTTACTTGAAATGATGTTTTGGCTAAAGAATAAGATAAATAGAACTTCCTTGTTTATTGATGTTGTGAAACTAATTTTCAAGAAAGTGCAGAAGAATGTTGCTGCTTCAGAAAATTCTGCATATTTTGTTGACTTTCTTAAATGAACTCTAATATTTATATTAAAGTAACACATTGACCTTAACTTAGTGAAATACCTCTAAAGCTTTGCAACATAGTAGTTTAAGTTAATGCTGTTCAGTACTGATGTTGCTTTTCTTTCCCAGTGGCAAAATAGCAGGTCATCTCAGGTTGTAGCTGTGCTATGAATGAATCTTTGGCAAAACTTGGTTTCATAGCAAGTTTTGGTTGAAGCTTAAAGCATTGTTCTAAAATGCAATGAAACGCTGGGAATAGAATTTTCCTAGTGCTTGAGCTAAGTAACTAGAGCTTTTCAGCTTGGCTTTTCAGCATATTCTAACTGCATTTGAGAAGAGGCGTTTAAAGAACAGTCATTATAATATTTCTTTTGAAACGCTAAAAAAAAAAAAGATGCCAGCAATGAGTTTAGAAATCATTTTTTTTAACACTAGTCTTGGAAAAAATCTGCAATCTTTGTTTTAGAGGTTATTATAAACATTTTGACATGAGGCACTGGAAGGCTTTGCACGTTTGTGCTTCTGTCATTCTCATCCTAGTAAGTTCTGAGTTGGTAATAGCTGTCATAGGCTTTTGATTGTGGGGTAAGTGCTCCATTTTTACCAGCCTAAAAGCTTTGTCAGACTTTCGTTTTACAGCTATTTTATCTGAATGTTTTCATTGAGAGAAAGATGTAGTAGTATGGGTGTTATTACTAATCCCTAGAGAATCCGCGTGGGGTATGGATGTTATAAATGCTTCTGTAGGAGTTTGAAGATTTATAAGTTGCTAGTGAATCCACTCCTGTGTCAAGTTTTTCCTACAGTGCTTTTATGTGAGGGGTCTAAACAGAGTGGGAACTTGTTTGTCAGTGGGGCATTGGTAATCCTTGGTTGTTTTATAAAGGTCAATTCAGATTGCAGCCTTATGGTTTTGATTAGGAAGATAACCAATTAGTAGATAGAAATTGGTCTGTCATCTCTTGTCATCAGAAGTGTTTATTTTCAGAAGGATTTCTTCCCCCGCCCCCAACCAATTTCATTGTTTTTTTATGTAATATGGCTTTGTAAAACTAGTATAACATGATCTGAAAGCTCTGTCTGTTGAGATGGCAAAGGTTTTAGTCCAATGCTAGCGCTGATCTGTCAGTGTGGCTCTACTCAGTTCAGTCTACTGTTGTAGTGATGCAGTAGTATTTTGTTATAATAGAAATACTTTGGAAATAAAATTAATTATATACAATTAGGTTAAAGCTAAGTTCGTTATTTAAGCAGTATGATTTTTAAAACAGAGGAACTGTAAGCAAATGTATTCTTTGTCCTCTTCAGTGTTTGCATGTGTACTTTTTTAAAGACTACTGGGAAAAGCAATCCTGCTCATGTTCTGGGACCAACATCAGCCACAGCCAGATTGTATGTGTATTTCCTTTAACTAGGAATGATGTGTGTGTATTTACTGTCATTATTTTGACAGTAAAATCATTACTTCAGAAAGGTATAAGACACTAATAAATGTAATAGAAGTGTCTTCCTGAACGTGCATTTCAATAATAAGAGATCTTTTACTGTAGTCAGCAACACAAAATTTATGTGGCTGGAAAAAAATGTTTCTCCTGCAAGGTTAATGGCAATTTTAACTCCTGTATCTTGTTGGTGACGACTGATTCTTTTCTTCCCCTTGATGCAAGCACCTCCCTTCTTTGAAAGTTACCTCTGAAAAGTATGAAAGCAAAACCATCCCAAGCGGCATATGTGATTGGAAAAGCAGGAAGGGGAAAAAAAAAAAAGGAGGGTGGGGACAGAAGCAAACCTGAGCAGGTTATCTCAAAACTTACATTATTGAGGGAAATGTTGATATGTTGAAAAAACTTTATTCTGAGCTGAAATTTACTCCAAAATAAATGAGAACAAACTAAGTATAAATATAGCATAGCATGTATTATGCTGGTGTTGTCTTGTTGCTTTTTCTGTTTTACTGTTTTATACTGTCTTTTAAATGAAATGTTCTTCTGTAGATTGTGTCAATTGATGCTTAGTTATACTTCTAAGGTAAAAAAAACCCAAACTGAACTGCTGGGTGTCACTGAAAGAGGGAAACGGAGTTGCTGTTTTTGTCATGTGGTGGCAGGCTTTGTACTTTTTTGTTCCTTCTGCCTGGTTGAAACAGGAAACTTTTAGCTTCTCCCTTCCCTTATTTATGCAGCAGCAGGTTAGACTGCCCTGAGGAAAACTAGCGGGCTCCTGTTGTACTGCTCTAGAGCAGCACAGCACGAACTTCTAGAAGAGACTGTCATGCTCCATGTGGAACCTGTGATAGATGGGCACACATATATCTTCCTAAATTTGTCTGTGTTGAACTGTTAGGAGATATTTTCTGCAACATGGTTGTTATTTCTAGGAAATTACTTGTTTTCAGTGGAAATACGGACCCTGATTTGGTTTTTCTTTGTGCTTCCAGAGGACACATGTAATGATAATGGAAAATTTCTCCACTTACGTGTGTGCCAGCATGGTAATGAGTTGCCAAACTGTGTCTCATCGAATGAACTTTCATCTGTCTTGCCACCTTGTTTATCATCTGGCAAAAACTAACAAAAAAAAGAATCTATTTCTTATTTTCTGTTTTTCCCTTTATAACTTTCAAAAGTCAGCAAGGTGCAGCTGCATCATTTTTTCACTGTAGTATAATTCACAATACATTAATATGACATGTTTTTTCCCTAAAACTTGAGATGTTTAATATGCCTTTAACTTTTTGTCGTTCAGGATGGTGATGAGTCATCTCCAATTTTAACAAGTTCTGAAATTGTGAAGATTCCAGATCCCCAGATGTCTATGGTGAGCGTGCTCCGTGTAATGCAATCCATATTACAGTATTTTTGTTGAAGTTTTTGTAAATGGAGATGAAAGCTTGCCTCTATTGCTGTCTTCAATATTTAAAAATTCCAGTGGAAAGATATATTTGACCAGTTGAGAAATATCAGTGGGTTTGACTTTTTAAATTTTTTTTATTTGCTGCTGCTGCTAGATTAAAATAGAAGAAGTGGTTTAATGCTTGTGTTCATCTCCTCGTTTCCATACCTAGTGTGCTTGCTTCTGAGGTGTAGGAAAGCAGAGAAGGGGGATTGCTGGCAAAAGAGGTCAGAGGGTGGGAATATAAGGTAAGAGGGAGATGAAGAGATGAAATGTAGAGGATGGTGCAGTAACTCTTGGTCACTTCGTCTGTTAAAATATTTTCTCCCTACACTCTCTTGTATGTTGTCTTTCATGTAGACAGTGCCTAAGTACAGTTCTAGAAAAGATTTCCATTATTGTGGATGCCAATTCAGTGGGACTGGTATTGGCAGCTTTGGGAACCTTAATGTAAGTGGGCTTCTACTGGCAACACTGTTTGAGCACTGTGTAATCTAACACTGCAAGAGCAAGTCTGACAATGCTGAAAACTGCCTTGGCTGCTGAAATCTCATTGACACTGTGGCTCCTATTGTGGCTCCTACTGTTGCTAACATGGTATTAACAGTGGGAAAACTTTTTGAGATGTTTTTATTGCATACAAAGCTTTATACTGCAAACATCCTAAAAAACATTTATAAAGTGTCTAGCACGTTGTGAGTGCTGTCTAAATCACGGACATGTCGACTGAAACGCTTAACATTTTGCAGCAATTCACCAAAAGGCAAGATAGGGTTTGTAAATTATGTGAAGTAGAAAACCAAAACAAAACCTCAAAATCCCCAACAACCCTCCACATACTATTGAAGGAGGTTCTTCTAAAACAACAGCAACAAAAAAATCCAGAAGATGCTGTAGTTTTAGATGTGAATTTTAATTGCCATGCATTATTCAAGATACTGGTGAGTCTTTCATTTCAGTAGTAATTTTCTCTGGAGTTTTAAGTATTTATAAATACTGACTTACCCTCTGCGTTTAGGAGAACTTAGTAGAAAGCAAACATCACAAGCTTGCTCGAAGTTTAAGAAGTGGACCTTCTGATCATGATCTGAAGCCTAATGCAGCTACGCGAGATCAGCTTAATGTAAGTCAGTCATATGATGGCTAAATTCAATTTTATTAGGTAGGTTGGTATTAATATATGGTGACAATTTAAGGAAAATACAGTTAATTTCAGTTTATAGAAAGTGATTAATGAAGAAATGTTAGGTGTTTCTTACAAGTGCTTAGTTAGATGGGTCCAACTCAGGAGCAGAAGGTACTTGCTCATTTTTCTGTAAAACAGTTTTGGGGCAATAAGAATGCATATTGTGCACATATCAGGTAGGTGTTAATGGTGGTCTTAAAGTAACTGTGTGTGTTTGCCTACACTGCCAGTTCAACCACATAACTGAAGAGCATCACCGTCATAGCATGAGAACTTCGTGTTGTTGGAAAGATTTTTTTGTTTGTTTCTAGCTATTTTCATGTGTTGTCAATGTTGTGCTTTATCACAGTGTAGTCTGTTAACTTGTTAGTTATGCCTGCTCATGTTTTTAAACTCACTTTCTGACTGTGTATCTAATAGATCATAGTGAGTTACCCACCGACAAAGCAGCTAACGTACGAGGAACAGGATCTAGTTTGGAAATTCAGATATTACCTTACTAATCAGGAGAAGGTAAGTTGAATGATTTGAGAAGACTTATTTACGCAAGAGGTGCTTCGTCTGGCACTTGTTCTACAATGTCCTGTCCTTGCAGAGATACAGACCTTCAGTGTCTTAGAAGCTATTCAAGATTATTTTTTCTGCAATATTACTGATGTAAAAATTAGTGACTTTAATTTTTCCTCTTAAATCATGTGAACTGGCTATTACTGCAGCAGTCTGTCTTCAAACACTTTGTCAGCTTAAAATACCAGTGTTGCCAATTTTGTCTGCAGCAAATAAAAATTATTAAAGAGTAGCTTCTTCATCCCTTTTAGACAACGGTTAGCATTACCAGAATAAGTAGCAGCACACCAAAAGCCCGAAGTAAATTAAATAACTAAATAATCCCTCAGCAGTGACATTTTTAATGTAGTGGTAATGGTGGTAGAGCAGTAACCATTGACTTTACATTTTACTTAGAAGATAACTCAGCTGCAGTTTTTGGGGACATACTAAAACAATTCAGTGTTGTATTGTCACTTATATTAGTAAGGTTTCCCAGGTCTGCACTTATGTAAATACAGTCTGAATCTAGTTCTACCTTAACGTGAAACATTAATTTCTGAAATAATTCGTTTAGCCTGGCTTTTCACTGATGAATTGTCCAATGTCTTTCTATTTAGGCCTTGACAAAATTCTTAAAATGTGTCAACTGGGACCTACCACAGGAGGCAAAGCAAGCACTAGAGCTACTGGGAAAGTGGAAGCCCATGGATGTGGAAGACTCTCTAGAACTTCTGTCATCACACTTCACCAACCCAACGGTTCGGCGCTATGCTGTCGCCCGGCTTCAGCAGGCTGATGATGAGGTATTCATTGGTCTGTGGACACGTGAAAGTCAGGTGGTCTCAGGATTTTTAGTCTCATTGAGTACTTGAAATGTTTGCTACTTTTTAAGGTGTTTAAGTAAAGAATAGTGATGGAAAACGGAGGAAAAAAAAAAAGAAATTCACTGTGATGCTATTTATTGTAAGCTCTCTATGGAGCAAAGTCTTCACATTATTAATTGGCACTCATTGATAATTGTCTTAGTGTGAGCAGCCAGTGATAGCTGGTTTTGTCAAACAAGGTGAAACCACCATATGTTCTCCTCAGAAACCGGTGACAAATTTTGAATGTTATCCTGCATAGAAGTGCTTTGAACTTAAATAGTCTACTAAAAGATTTCCAACAAATCCTCCTGCTAAATTGAAGCAGTATTTCATCATACTCTTCTGCTAAAGAAAGTGAGTAGAAAAGCATCTGTGGAAATAAGGTGTTTCTAATTGTATACTGATTAGAATATGATGAGCTGTGATTTGTGAGTAGAGCCCACTTAATAGATGCTAATCTGTTAATTATTTATGTATTTAATTTTCTTTTGACAGTAAAAAAAAAAATACTTTGAAGGTATTTCCATAACTCTTGAATCCTTGGCAATCAATAGAGTTTAAAATAGGGAGCATAAATGTATCAAATTTTTGCAGGCCTACTTCAATAGCTAAGGTCATACTGCTTTGACTTGAAAAATGTACCTTTTATGAAACATTTAAAGGCAACTATACGGAGCAAGTTGAATAGCAGAGGGAAAAAATTCATTATAAACAGCAAGTGATTAAAATTCTATACTTCAATCTAAAATAGATCAGATATGTGGGGTTTTTTGGATCCCCAGCTATACAAGGGATTAAAAAAAAAAAAAAAAAAAAAAAAAAAAGAAGAAAAATGATAGTGCATAAGAGAGGAGAGAATCTGAATTCCTGGTACCATGGTCCAAATTTTATTCTTGAATTTTTTTCTTGGAGCCACAAACTGAAAGGTTTATTTTGTGGATGCTGGAAGCAAGTAGGACAGCTTAACTAAGGAGAACTTTAAAGTAGTAATTGCCCTTAAATATTTACTTAATTAGGACTTACTACCTTTGAGTAACAAAACATTAGTAGTGTGATAATTTAGTATCTTTTGCGAGTCGAACTTCATCCTCCACCAGTTTTTCTATTGTATATTGCTTGCTAGGGAGACCCCAATTTCCATTTCTGTGTAGGCCACTAAATGCAGACTAAATTCTCTATAAAATAGAATTTTGAAAACATGGAGGCCTAGTCAGCTTTGTCTGACCCTCTCAATTCACTTTAATTTTTTTCCTCCATGAGGATTTGCTGATGTACCTGCTACAGTTAGTCCAGGCATTGAAATATGAAAACTTTGATGACATAAAGAATGGACTGGAACCTAGCAAGAGGGACAGTCAAGGTTCAATGTCAGAAAGCATGACAACATCTGGAACTAACGGTGCAGAAATAGAAAGGTAAGAAACTTAGATTTCCAGTAGAAAAGCAGAAACATGTAACACTGTGAGCCCTCAAATTCTTTCTCCTTTTTAGGGACTATTGCATATTCAACATCCTATTTTATAATCTGAAGTGGTAACATTAAAAAAAAAAAATCTGACCCCTGAGCTTTCACAGAATGTATTTCCTGACTACAGATAGTTTACAGAGCAAACATGCTTAATCTTGAAGTTATGGCCTTTGACCTTACTGCACAAAAGGAAGACAACTTCTGGAGAGCAGGAAAAACACTGGCATTGCTTCCTTCTGTCCTTGCAAAAATTAGGATGTCTTCAACGAAGCTATATGAGGCTCCACTTCCCACTTGCATCAAAGAATACGGATCTAAAAGTCCGATCAGTCTGAAATAGAAATTTCTTCCTGCTCCAGCAGAAGAAGGTGTAGGGAGAGTCCTGTGAATGTAAAGGAGCTGGGGGAGCACAGTTTTTTATTCTTGCAGGAACCCAAAAGAAAGGCTGAAATATCTAATTAACATAGTATTAAGCAAGGTGCAAACAAACTTGGTTAACTGAAGTCTCCTGTGAATATTTAATACAGATTTCCAGGATTTTTAGTCTTAAGCTTCAATGTCTAATCCCTTGTATCACTAGGATATACTTTTCGTATTACAAGTATACTGCTTTTCACTGATCTTGCTGCTAAGCTGTACAGTGGGTATCCTGGCATGTATGGTGTGTTTTGAGGCTGCAGTGACGCTTAGATGTTAGTAGAGCTGTTTGATTACTTCCTTTCAGGTAAATTTGCTGTGTGATAATTTTGCCTTACAAGCACTGGGTTTGTCTACTCTATTATGTGTAATTGCATTCCAGAGATGAGTGCTTGCAGGTGTTGTGTATTAGCAATTTCATCTTAAGAACATTTAAAAAAAGCTTATCCTGAAAATGCGGATTTGCTAAATTCCCATCTATGTCTGCTTATTTTTTTATGGAAGATGAAACAAAATGCTAAGTTTCATGTAAGTGAATGTCCTTCAAAGCCATGTGTAGCTAACCAGGGACAGATTTTTGCCGTTTTCAGGAACTGCAGCTGTCAAAGATGCTGTTCATGCAGTTTGTTCTGAAACAGGGTTGAGATACTATCTTCAAAGTTACTTCTCGTCCAGTTTTCTGAATTTGTTATGCTGTGAAAGTGAAATGCATTGCTATTTCCATGCATGCCCCCTGCTCCCCAAGTAAGAAATTCGAATCATGCCAATTACATGCTTTCCTTATGTAGTTCCCAGATCATGAGTCCTATTCCACCTGTTTCCTCACCACCTCTTACTTCTAAGACAAAGGAGTTTGCAGACAGTGAAAACCTTGATGTAAGTCAAATGCTTTACCTTCTGTTTTTGATACTTCTTTAGTGACCTGCTACTGGTTTTAGTTTTTGTTTGTGAATATTTGAATCTTTCTACTGTATCTTGCTGAATACTTAGAGTGCTCAAAGAATATAAATGTAAACTAAATGCTAAGAAAATAGCAATAGCTTAACTGATTTTTTTTTTTTTACAGGCATCTATTTATGTACATGGTCGCACTATCCAAAATTGGGGGACTGGGCACTGAATTCTTCATAAAATTAAAGTACTCTCCTTAAAGGAGAAAATTACTGCAAAGACTATCACATGCTGATTAGATACTGACAACTGCATGTGTTTGAGGTGTTTTAAAGCAGGTTTTTTTAAATGGAAAACAGTTATCCAAATGTTTTAATCTCTGCAATCTGTTCTTCCTGTAGCCATATTCTTTGGCATGGGTGTCATCTTTTTTGCACTTAAGTGAGACGCTGTATTGATTTACATCTGCCAAGGATTATACTCAATTTATACCACAAGTAGAAGAGTAATAAGAATGGGACTGGAGGGAGGGAGAGATAGAAGGTAAAGATGGTTTGAAGGAGTCTGATTTTAATGTAATGTGCAGTTAATTGGTCTTTGAACTAAAGATCCATTTTCTGTTGCAAATCTTCCTTTTTGAGTCTCATTACTGCATGGAAAATACGCCTCAAATTGAGCATATCAGTAAAGTTACGCATATTTCTTGTTAGTTGGAATATTAAACCTTGAAAAAGCAGCTAAATGCTGTGTATCCTCTACAGATTTTTTCTTTATGTTAAAATGTAGAACGTCTTGAAGATTTTCACATCTTCTGGATGCAAAACAGGGTAGCAAATCCCTTTCAGGGTTGAATCTTACAGCAATGGATAATTGCATAGGAAGAAAGTGTAATATACTGTAAATAGTAACTTTACATTAAAGATTTATTGCTGGAGAACATATGTACTTTTGACATGTTGGTAAATATATTACTGTAATAGCAGACCTTTTTTTACTTGTAGTGTTGTTGCAGGATTTGGAGTAATATTAGAACTAATACGATTTAAATATTAGGTTGGATTGGATTCAGATTTTAGAAGGAAATGCATCTCTCAAAATGCCCTGCAGTTATTTGGGGTTTTTCCTTAACTTTGTGTGTCTCTCAGGTGCTTAGACTTCTTTACAACTTAATTTTGCTTTTCTTAAATCCCTTCCAGCAAGACCTTTGCACTTTCTTGATATCACGAGCATGCAAAAATTCCACGTTGGCAAACTACTTGTACTGGTATGTTAGAAACTATTTATTCATACTGTATCAATGTCTAATTGAAATCACAGCTATAATACCCAGAAGGATGCACAGCAAAAGATAACCTGTCTTGAGAACTTGAGAATCTCAGTTTCTCTCAGGATGAAGTAGTGGATTTAAAAGAACATGCATTTGAACAGAAAAATTTGTAACAGGAGGGCGCTGGTGGTTTGTAGGGCATTAAGTACAGTGTTCTCTCCCCCCCCCCCCAAAAAAACCCTAACTGTAGTTTATAAGTTGTCATTCAAATTGTTTATGGTGGTGGGGTGGAGTTCCTCTTCTGCTCTGCTTTTCTGTTTGGTTTGCGTTTATAGTTTTTGACAGTGTTGGCTAGAATACTGAAGTTATGCACTTTAGTATTAATCAAGAGTGTACTTTAGGAAGGTTCATAAAGCACTAATTCTTTTGTGCTGATCTAATTTTTTTTTAGATTCCATTTGTGGGTATATTATGAGCACAAACAAAATGTCATTGCAGATGCACGCTTTCTTAAGGGGGAACTTTAGTTGTGAATAGTTCATTTAGATAGTGGAGAGGTACGATTACTTAGGTAAGGATCTTGTCTCATTTCAGTGGTTTAAGAAATAAATTAGATGCCTAAACCAGTCATCTGCATGCCTTCTGAGTAAGCATTTGCAGGTAGGAATTATCTCATTTGAAGGAAGCTGAGATGAATAGAGCTGTACTCTGAAGGTGTGTGTGTATATGTGTATATGTTAATGTACATACATATGCGCATGTACACAACACATACAGCTATTCATTTGTATATACGCATGTATTTTAAAATAGAGAGCGTAGATGCCTTTTACATGGCTAAACTTAAGTCAAATGATTTGCATTTGTATCTTTTGTAGATGTATCTAATAATTAAAAATACTAAGACCCATGATCATATGTTAATGTACTATGAATATTAACCACAGATAAGTCATGAATTGGGAACAGTGTGATATGTGATGCAAACCTACCAAACTGTTCTTATAAAATTCTTAAAAGAATCCTAACCTATGCTAAGAGTGATTCCATTTGTCTTTTTAAGTTTTATTATTTCATTGCTTTTTCAGTAGCTTGAATTTAAGATATTTAAGTGCATGATTTAACTACAGTTCCTATTGCAGTGGCCAAAGATAATGTTTGGCTTCAGAATAAAGTGCTATCAAATTTAAATTATTAAAATAATTGCAGGCTGAATTGATGTGGGTAGAAGCCAAATGCTTGACTTAATCAAATATTCTTCATTAAGATCAGTGTTAGTAATTAGCTTATTTCTACCCCATGGATAGAAACTGTGCACTTAAATTTTGGCAACATCTCAGTCTACAGAAGGTTCAAACGTACAGAACTTTGAAGTTTTTGTCTTATGACTTTATTAAAAAAAAAAACAAAACCAAAAAAAACCCCAACAGACAGACAAACCACAAACAAAAAAAAACCAACCCCAAACCAACCACCAAACCAAAAAAACCCAGTCAATTTATTCTTTGTTTTCTTTCCAGACATCTCAATTTCTCAGTGACAAAATACAAATGTTGCAGCCACTGTTTCAGCTGACGTAGCCATAAATCCTCTTGGCTGCTGATCAATTGCTTGTTTCAACTATCCAGACACAGCATGCACCTAAAATAATCAATGGAAAAAGTACAATAACCCTTGAAAATCAAACCTCCTGCTCAGTCACTTGTCACTGTAAAGCTATCCTATCCTCATACTTTAACAGCAGCTACAGAAGTCAGCTACTGCTTTTTTCTGTCTCTTCTTCGGACATACAAGACACCTATCCGAGTATGAAGCATTACTCTTGCTCCTTGTTTCAAGATAGCTTTGAGAAACTGTCTAGGGCTTTTAACAAATGAAGATGAAAATGGCATGTTTCAATTCATTACTTCCTGTTTTCCTTTAAGTTTTGGTGCACAGACTTTTTAAATATGGACTTATTTTTATGCACATATTGCTGCAATCTAATTTTGTCATTTTAGTGAGGGAATGATGTAGAGCAATTTATTACCAAAGTCCTAGAAGTAATCTTTAGTTACAGATTTCATTGAGATAATACTCATGGAATGAGTTACATATGCCTTATTTTAATGTATATAATATATTGTGTATTTAAAATAAGACTAGTCAAGTCTGATCAGCTGCAAACGACAGTCCTCTTATTTGTCCCCCAATCATTCAGTTGTAAAGAGATTCTGAAAAAGTGCATAAGGAGGGGTTAATTCTAGCTGCCAGAGTAAAGTCCAGATGTGTGTGTTTGTATGTGTAGAGTCGCTTTTGAATTCAAATTCAGTGTTTTAAAATCGACTAACTTACTAATTTTTTCCTTTTTTTAATAGTGGGATTATATTTTTTTTTTTTTTACTGGGTGGTGCTAGGAGATAGATTGATCAATGGAAAGAATAACTTCCGTGCATAGCTACTTTTTGATAATAAGTGCTGTGAACAGAAAGATGCACAAAAGCATTCCAAACAACTGCTTAACATATAAATTTTCAGTATAACCATCCCAAGTTGTACTGTTTAAATCTTGTACCTGAATCCTAATTTTAGAAATGAAAACTTATTTTGGAATGTAGAATTTGCAGAGCTGCTTCAGGACTAACACCATCTCTTCCACCATTGCTAATGGTAAAAAGGGAACAGGCAGGGTGAGATTCTTCTTGGTTTTGCAGGTATATTTGAATAACAAGTTTGCAGCCACTACAGTGTGTAGAGGGTAGTAGCACAGTGGAACGCCTGCTCCTCCCATGTGTACTGCTTGGTTGGAGTGTTCATGTGATTTGGACTTCTGTCTTGTCCTGTTTGAGTGATGCCGCTTCATTGCAAGTAAAAGACCTCAGAAACTTTGATAGGCTCTCATGATCCAAGTGGGAATTTGTCACTATGCAATTTTGAAGAGTTCACCTGTTGGTTGAGATAGCAATCTCATTCAAAGATTGACTTTATTTTTAGTTCCAGGCCTATAATACAGGGCTACTGTATTTCACTCAAATTGTGTAGCACCAGAGTACAGCATAACTTGGGTTGTTTTTATGCTGCAGGTATGTAATAGTGGAGTGTGAAGACCAAGACACTCAGCAGAGGGACCCAAAGACTCACGAAATGTACTTAAATGTGATGAGAAGATTTAGTCAGGCTTTGCTGAAGGTAACGCCTCTGCGTAAGGAAATACATAGTGGTTTGGGATAGTCATTCTTTAAAAAGACATAGGTGTCTAGGAGGATGACAGTTTTTTATGTCATAGGTATTGAAATTTTAAAAAAGCTTCTGCTTTTGCTTGAATTTTGAATGTGTGGTAAACCAAAGAAACTACTGCAAAAGAAAAGAACAAGTATTAGGAACTCTTTCCTGTGTTTTATTGCTTATTCCTGTTAGTAACCTGCTGGGCCTAAAATCCTCTCTCTTGTGTAATCAGTCTACTTTATTTACTATTTCTTTATTGGAAGCACTTGTCCTTGCAGAGTAAATTGAGACAAGACACCTATCTTTTGAATTCACAGTGTTGTTCTGTGTATCAGCAGCAGAGGGTGCTGGAGCAGTGGGGAAAAAAGCAAAAACAAAAATAAAAACTTTTGTGAACTGCAAGCTATAACGTATAGCAGATGTGCAGTCTTTCCTGATTTTCATGTATCTCACACTTCATACTAAAATTCTGATTTTAGGGATGTTGCTTAAATCTGACTCTTATGCTTCATAAGATTATTCCATGTGCTTATCCTTACTAACTTATTTTGACTGTGTGAATAGGTTTGTCATGCATGACTGTTCACCACTGAAATTGTTGATGCAAATTGAAGTGCACTGCTGGTCAGATAATTGATTGCCAGCTACAGTGATTCTGATTGTGTTTTACAGAAAATACCTTTCGAATTGACAGGAAATTGATCATTATTCATTTACCTCTTAAAAGCCCAAAGGTCTAAGAATAAAGGAATAATTTCTAGATAAAATAATTACAGAACAAAGAACTAATTTTGTTTCTTTTAATTCATTTAGGGTGATAAGTCTGTCAGAGTTATGCGTTCATTGTTGGCAGCCCAGCAGACATTTGTAGATCGGCTGGTTCATGTAATGAAAGCAGTGCAGCGTGAAAGTGGGAATCGTAAGAAAAAGGTAACTAAAGGATTGGAAAAATTATCTTTGGCTAGAATTTGATAATAGGAATGTTGGCTTTTAACAAAAAATTGTTAGCACTGAGATTTTTAACAGATGTCCATCTGTCCTGTAATAACTTTAGGTAACTTGAAACAAACTTTGGAGAGGTTTAGATGGGTCAAAGTTCCAAAGTGTTCTGAAAGTTTGTAGATGAAAAACAGAAGAGGCCCTTGAGAAAAATCTTGCGATACTTTGGCAAAAGGAAGATGGGGGAATAATTGAGTAGTTGAAGATACAAGAGTGAACAAGTTGTGGGGGATGTGGGAAGGTAGCAGAGGTTATTGTGGTGTGAGAATTATGCCAGGATAGATAATGAAATTTGACTAGCAGCAATGTTTAATTTGTTCCAAGAGCCAGAAAATTATTCTTTTATAAGGAACTTTGCCTTCTGTTGCATCTTTTGGAAAGGGATTTCTATCACAGGTGCGTTTTAAGAAGATTTGTCCTTCTTAGTTAAAATATTTTAAGTGAACTTGACAGATGTGTATGTGGAGGAAGCAGGAAGGCCAGAGGGATTTCTATTCATGTTTGGTTTTTGGTTTTTGTTGGTTTTTTTTCTTCTGACACACATCAGTATTTTTAAACATGTATTTTTCAGTATAATGATTGTTGTCACCCTTCTTTAAATCTGTGGGGTATATTTCTGCAGGAAAATGAAACACAAGTATTGCATCATTGTTATGAAATTTTGTGAATATTCTATGTATCAGTAATAAAGGTGTAATCACTAAAAGAGGAGGAGTGTTTTTCAATTCGTAAGAATATATTTCTTTCTTGTGCAATACATTGGTAGCATTCTGTCATGTAGTCTTTTATAACTGCTGGGATATTTCTGTAAAACTAAGAAACAAATGGCTTTGGTTTTTCAATTAAAATCTAGCTAGCAGCAGTTAACCACTAAAAGTATTCCTAACAGTAGTGGGCTACCTTGCTGTGTGTTTTTGCCTGTAATATTCAGTAAGGGAAAAGGCTAGAGACTTTTATGTATTCAACCTTTATTATGTAGGGCACCAAGTGTAAAGTACTTGAAAATTGACTGGTATTGTGTTTCTGGTAACTACAGTTGTAGGAATGTAGAGCAAGCCCTGAAATCAGATCTGTGCAAGCTGTTTGCAATTTGGTTCACTGATGGTAGGGATCTCCTTGAGTTCAGGGATTTAAATGATCAGAGCTAAAGACTTGAATCCAGTTTCTGAAACAGAGCTAACGTTTGGTACTGGTATGGAAAACAAATTATCCTGCTACTTGTACAGGTAATTTATAAATAAATTTTTGTATCTGTTGTATCTGGCACTTAAAATTGCTTGACTATACTCAGACTAGATGGAGTATTTGCTTCCTTATTCACATTACTGCAAGTGGGGAATTTTTATTTCACTGGATTTTAAGAGTGAAACCTTGATTCTTTGGGAGAGTAAATAATTGAATAAATTGGCTATTTATTAATAATACATCCATTGTTAAAAGACTGTTTAACTGTTTAACATATACCTAGTATGTGTTTTATGGTTGTGGGTTTTTTGGCTTTTTTTTAAAACGAGTTTTCATTCTTTTATTCTTTCAGAATGAGAGGCTTCAGGCATTGTTAGCAGATAATGAAAAGATGAATTTAGCAGATATGGAACTTATTCCACTTCCTCTGGAACCTCAGGTGAAAATTAAAGGGATAATCCCTGAAAAAGCCACACTCTTCAAGGTAAATAAGATATTCTGAATAGCTGAAATACAAACAAGTCTTATGAGCACTAAGCTTAGAAACATCAGTTTTAAAGATTTAAAGGGGCTGACATAGTCGAGGCAAGATGTAACTGTAACGTGCTCTTAAAGTGGTTAAACAAGTCTATTTTCTTTGTGAAACTCCTTTTTTTCAAGTTAATGTGCAAACTTTAAAGCAGGTTTTGTAAGAATGATACAGTTTATAAAGTTTATGAAGTCCCCAAGCTCAAGGCATGCTTCCTAGTTCAGAATTTCTCTGAACTTTAGTTAGATGGTATTCAATAGGAATACCATGTATGATCAGAATCATACAAATCAAGTCAGGTGTGCTGGATGTCAGCTAGATGTACGTGTCTATTACATTGGAAAATAAAACTGTTAAATTGGTGGAGACTGGAAAGCAATAAGGTGGTCCGTTTCACGCAGTTGCAGTGGGCTGACAGGTAGACCCTATATCCCTATGGTTGATAAGTCCTTAAACCAATCTGTAGCAGTTGCTTGTGATCATATGGCCATCCCTTAATCTAGTTAATAAACAGTTGAAAGGCCTGGGGTTATTTTTCTTCCTATACTACTTGGAATCTAAGTTATTGCTTGGAATGTGAGTTATTACCTGTGTCCGGTGATGTAGAACCTCTTTATAAATTTACTTTCAACTCATATAGGTGACTGTGATCTAATTTTAAGATGACCAAAATGTGCTTTATGAGTCAGGCCTATGTCCAGGAGGCATTCTCTGCTAGTTAAAAAATGTACAAGCTGCTGTGACAACCAATGTTAATCCATCATCTCTACTAGCTCATAATTTTATTATGCCCAGTAGTTTCAAACTTTGGTGACTGATATAATTTGTGTTTACTTAAAATCAGAGATGAACATTTTTGCATAGTTTTCTACCAAACCATCTCTTGGTTTCCCAGCTTTGGCTTGCTTCTTTATATACCAGTTAGTCTCTTTGAAGAGTATGCTTCTTCAATTGCATGCTCTTGCACCTCAGGTTGGAGGCAGCATTGGAAAGATGTTGTCATGAAAACAAGATTTTGCAAACTTGGGTCAACTTTTAGCATGACTATGTTGTAAGGGTTGGGGGAAGAATGTTGACAAAAATACTGCTGGAACAGCAACTAAATATTTCTTATCAAGAGTAATAGCTTAACTTGATCAGGACAAACTCAAGTCAGATAGTCTTCTACATATTGGTCTACTGTAGCAATGTAGAAAACTTAGGACCAAAAATCTGAGATATAACTTCTTTCAAAATCGGAGATGGTTTTGATTCACCTGATTTTGAAAGGTTACAGATTTCTGTTTAATCTCTCATTCTGTACTGTTGGATAAATGACTAATTTTTGGTGCTCTTGGACATGACATGGCAGCTTTTGTAGGACTATTTAAAGAATAATTTTTCCTTTATTTATCAAACTTAATAATTTTGAAACATTCGTTGCATGTGAAAATCTAATGTAACTGCTCAAATATTAAACTCTGTATCCTTGAATATTTTTTTTGGTTTTGGTTTTGATGGAAGTGACTTGGTCAGTTGCAGTAGATGAAATAATTCATGTAGGTAATTGATTCCCTTCAACCCATTTTATGCAGAGAAATTGCAAACAATTAAATTGGCTTTCTCAAACAACAAAGTAAAAAGGCATTTTTGCTTTTACTAAATAGATTAAGGAAGCAATTAATTGTTTAAGATGTCTTGCCCCTAGCATTTCTTTGATGTTTATCCTATAATTGTGTCTCTTTTTGATCTGGTCAGTTTAAATTTGTTTTGTTGTGACCTTTTGCATAGTGCTTCTGTGTTGATTGGAATTACATGCATACAAACAAAACTTGAATACTTCTGTCCTTTCTCTTCTGCTGCTGGAGAGGGGGTGTGGCAAGGGAATGTATCCTTCACACTCCTTGCTAAAAAAGGAGGAAAGCCTTAAGGGGGTTTTGGTTTTTTGTGGTTTTGTCTTTTTTAAAACATGCCTAGATCACACTTTTGGTAACTAGAAATGGTATGTTCTAACTGTTTAGTCCTAAACAATGAGGAACTGCTTTTAGAAGCTTTAGAATTGCTTCTTTTCTACCAAACTGGAGGAATAGCAAAAGAGCTCTGGTACTCACTGCCACACTGTTGGTATTCAAATGGGACTATTTTAAACCTTTTTGTAACTGAATTTGATACTTGAATGCAATGACCTGATACTTGCTTAATTCACTTCTTATCTACAGTGCAGTAAACAAAGATTTATATTTTAGAACTCTACTGTAGCAACATGTTAATATGAACCAGTTTAGTAGAACAAGTTTCCTTTTCCAGAGTGCCTTAATGCCTGCTCAGTTATTCTTCAAGACAGAAGACGGAGGCAAATACCCTGTAATTTTTAAGCATGGTGATGATTTACGTCAAGATCAACTTATTCTTCAGATTATTTCACTCATGGATAAGGTGAGAAATATTAATCCACATCCTTGCCCTTCTCTGCTCTTGATTTTCCTTGTCGAGAGCAAGACTGTTAAAACCTGTTAATGCAGTTTACGTTGCAAATACATTCCAGGGTTCTCAGATCTCAGGTGGCTTTTTTCTTTTCTTTATAGACATGCAATGATCCTGTGTAGATTTAAAAAAAAAAAAAAGTCAAACAGGCTTTTACTCATTACTAATTTAAATGAAGAACAGTGGAGATCAATGTCCAATACGCATTGGTTTTAGAAGTAGAAGCTGCTTTTCTGTTGCATTCATCTTTGCTTTTGTGTGTTGTTTTTTTCCAGCTGTTAAGAAAAGAGAATCTGGATTTGAAACTGACACCCTATAAAGTGCTGGCAACTAGTACAAAACATGGTATGAATACTTTTATTTCCTAAATATACGGTATTGGGAGGAATCTTCTCCCTCGCTCATAGACTGTGTTGTGACACAGTATTTTCATGAGATGTTTTGCGTAGTATAGCATTCTAAAAAGGAGCTCAAATGTGTAAGAAAATCTTGTTGCAATAGAAGTCATGGAAGTAAACAACCTGAGTGACCACAGTATTCCATAAGTGACTCGGGTATCTTCATAAAAGAAGCCTGGTCTGGATTTTGGAGTATGTGACAATCAGTAGTCTTATCTTTGCTGCTAGCTTGCTGTGTGATCTTGGACAAATAACTTTTAACTCTCCTATTTATAGATCTTTGCATGAAATGGAGGAAAAAAACGAGACAAAACAAAATCAAACTTGACTATGTTTTTAGAAACATTCTGGATAAATATTTAGAAAGCCATTGATTTACTTTCTCTTCCCATGAAAACCTGGAAGAACAGACCTTCTGCAAGCTAATTTGGCGTTAATGACAAGTTGTTTTAAAACCACTGAAGGGGGAGAAAATTGGAACAAAATGGTTTTTTTTCTGATGAGAAGCAGCTGAATGAAAGTGTGTATTAGTGTTGTCCTTTAATAAACATGCATTATAGAGTAGCCTGAAAGTTCTATGCATTGGAGATTTTTCTTTTTTTTGGTTGTCTTCTGTCACAGGCTTCATGCAGTTTATTCAGTCAGTACCAGTTGCAGAAGTTCTTGCTACTGAGGAAAGTATACAGGTACGTGATGCGGGATTTTTAAGTCGTCTCCTGATCAAACAGTATAAATTGCAGGCTTAGGTCTCATACAAAAGTCTTTAGTCTCCCACTGATTTTTGTATCTGTTGTTAGAAGAAAAAATATAGCTTGAAACATAAGTATATTCACAGCAAATGTTTTACTTTAAAAAATATATACTTAAATCACCACATGAGTATCTCATGTCCTAAAAGTAATACCATTTAAGTAATTAAAGTGTAATTTAGTTGTGATACTGAAATTATGGCTTTGCTGTAATGATGAATGGTAGGTGCCTGACACTTTTCTGTACTGTTTTGTTAAGTGTTTCTGTTGTTCATGTGATAGTTTTGGCTTGATACCTGGTCAAAGTATGTTTAATAAGTTTTTTTGATGGAACAACTAAATAGTTTGTTCATGTAATTTCTGAAGTCTGTTTCCCTGCCATAGTGGCTGTATAGATACTGTGTGATATTTTTTTCTTTTTTTTTTTTTAGCAAACTTTCTGTAACTGTCATGAAATTGAGTAGGGACACATAACTGAGTAGTGGCACACAAAATTCATGCTAGTTTCAAGCACAGTACACAAGCTAGATAGCAGAGTTCAGCTGGTTGAGATAAATATAATTAGATAAAAATATACCAAATTGCCTTATGAGAGAGATAGCTAATAAGTGGTTGTTTTTTTTTAATGAAAACACAGCATGTTTATGTTGGATTCAATTTGTCACAGTACCTTTTTTCTCTTTTTTCCAGTTGATAGTTAAGTTTGTATGTGTTCATAGCTCAGTAACTGGGAACCAAAGTAAACAGCTCCCAGCTACTATAAACTACATATATTAAAAATACGGAGATTAAAAAATGCTTGTCACTTGCCATTATTGTTTGCTTAACAAATAAGCATATCAAATGCTTATCATTTATAAAAAATGCTTATCATTAGTCAGACAATGACTGGCATCAGGTTGCTTAAGTTTCTTGAACTTTTCATTCTGTAAAGATGGTGATAAGCTACATCTACACATTCAATAATCATACAGTTTAGAAAGTGTTTTCTTGGCAATCCTTTGTAATCTTGGAAACATAGTACTCATATTCTAGTTCATTGGATGTTTTTATAAAATAATATATTTAGAAATGCTTGTGAAATTGTAATTTTGCAATTACTTATAACATCATATTCCAATCTGAAATGGGTGCCCCACTGTTTTAGTTGCTGTGCAGACATAAGGAGCAATTCTTCCTGTGAAGAATTGCTAATCTAAATAGACAAGACGCCAAAAGAATGTGATCTGCAATTACTTCACAGATCAATGACAAAATCCATCATAGAGCTCAGATTTCCTGTGCCCAAAGCATGATAAAATAGCTGGGCATTGTAGACCAAGGAAATAAAAACTAAATGAACATTTTTAGGTGTTGTGAAAGTTTGGTTTATTCTTTTTGTAAATGTTCATTTTGGGTGTCATAGCTCTTGTAATAAAGATGGCTACTGTATATAGATATTAAAAAATGTTTCACTTCTAAAAAGAATTAAAGCAAGTAATCTAATATGGGCAGGTAATGCAGATCTGCGGGACAGAAAAGGTGTTTTGATGTTTGAGTGTTATTTACCTTCTATCAACAATCTTGAAATTACAGTTTATGTTTTAGAGGTATTTCTGTTCTATACTTGACAATTTAGCATTTGGATGGTCTGAAGTATGTGTGGGTTTTGTTTAGTTTCTGGTTTGGTGGTTTTTTTTTTGGTTTCATTTTTTAACATACAGCATGTAACATTTTGGAGCACTGAAAGTACATCTCACTATAGTACCCTGTTAAGCAGTTAAAAATTTCCTTCCACATTTCGCTTAGGGATTTCATTTAACAGAATCTTTACTCTGACAGCTTTTTTAACATATTTCAGAAGGGCTTTTTTTTCTGCAAGCAAAGATAATTAAAGCTTTCTCCAGGCCTTAAATCTCTGATACACATTGCAACAGGAGCACTTTTCAAGCAAAACTTTCTTAAATTGCCTGCAGGTACCTTTCTTCAGTACCATCTCCTCTTTTTTAAGATTCCCTTCATTTTTTCCATTATGATTTTAGTTACTTATATGTCATCTAGTTGCCTACAAAGCTCCTCTTCCAGTGCTTGCTTAGATTTGTGTTTGCTTACTGGAAGAAGCTTGTGCTTAGGCTTGGATTTAATTTAGTTACCTTTCATCTCAGTCAAGGAAGAAAAAAACAGTTTTCTTCTGAGCGGTGGGAAGGACTGTTTTGGCCCTGTTCCCATTTCACAGGAAATGTGAAGTTTCCATTTGATGACTTAGATTTTCCTTTTAAATTCAGTAGTGGTTTGTTGTATTGAGGAATATGGAGACGTATAGCAATGATAAACCTTGTAAGAGAGTGTGTTCCAAATGTAGTTACTAATCTGGACTGTTAGTCCTGTTTTAGTTTTTGTTGATCTGGCCTAAACAGTTTCCTGTGGAAGTATTTGCACTCATAGTTATTAATCAGTAACTTTTCAATGCATTGTTAACTTTCTGAAGCTGTTAGTAAAGAAAACCCGCTTTTCAGTTTGAACTTGAGATCTGTTTCTCTTGAGTATAGGAATGTGATGATTAAGACAAAATAAAGCGATATGAAATTAGATCTTACTAGTTTTTTGAGGAGTTGTTGTTAGTTTACTACAGATTGTAGTGATGGCCATTTGTGGTCTTGATTTAAATCTTTTTTTTTCTACCAGTTCTAAAGATCCTGTTTCAGATCATGTGGAATAACTAAATATGTTGATGACTTCCCCTCCAGAACTTCTTCAGAAAACATGCACCTAGTGAGACTGGCCCTCATGGAATAAGTGCAGAGGTGATGGACACATATGTTAAGAGCTGTGGTAAGTTACAGTCTTACAGTTGGTAACTTCATATCTGAAGTATAAAGGACAGGGTAGATGAGGTATTAAGACATTTCACGTCAGATGACTGCAGATAGGGCACTACGCATGTACTTGCTATCAGAATCCCTGTGAAAGGAATGGTTTTGAGCCTGGCATGTCATACGCAATTCCTCTCCTTAGCCCTCTTTTTGTTCTCTTTAAAGGAGACTAGAAGTTAAATATTCTTTGCTTTCTAGCAATAACCTTGCCTCCGACCCTTCCACTTCATGAGTTGGGGCCTTTATAATTCAGGGAGATATAAGCATTTATATAATAAGAAATCATCTGTATTTGAGGTGAAAAATTTTTATTTGTTTTTAAAACATCAAATTTTTTTGGGGGTGAGGCTACATTCAACTTCTTGTTCCATTTGGATGACAAGAAAAAGCATTAGTGTCGTTCTTGTTCAGTAAACTGGTGGCAACGTTAACATATCACATTTGCTGTCCATTAAATGAAAAGCAACTTCATCCTACAAAAAAAAAAAGCAATTCAGTTGTTGCTCCACAGTATCTTCTCCTTTCCCCTTTGCTTTCTGATGGCACAGTCTTTAGAGCTGCTTCAAACTGTTCTTGTTAGTGGGTGAAAGTAACAATTAAGCAGTTCACTACTTATCACTGTCTGGCTTCCTGCTTAGCTTGTGAATACTGCTGACGTATACATTCTGATTCATATCAATGTCTAATGTTTGTTACAGTCTTCAGTTCAAAATGAGTACATTCATTTTGCTCAGAGCACTTCATCTTCCTTTGAAGTATCTTGATCCCAATATTGAATGAATTTAGGCTTTTAGTGTTAAGCGCATGATTGTGTAGTAAGAAATTAAAATCTAGGCAGTACTGAATAAACTTCAGAGTTTCTAATCTGTTACTTCAAATGTTCTTCACAGTGCTGACAATCCTGATTATTCTTCATCAGCACCACCCCTGCCCCAGTCTCTATGGTATATTTATTACTAATGAACAAGAACTGAGATAATGTCATACACTGTTGTTAATTGTGTGGAACTTGTTGCTCTCCAGGAAAGATATTGATGTTTACAATTTACTTGTTACAGCTGGTTATTGTGTAATTACTTACATTCTCGGAGTTGGAGATAGACATCTGGATAATCTTTTGCTAACAAAAACAGGTAATTCTTTTTAGCAGTATAATTTTATAACAGCAGTTGTTTAATTTCTAATGTGTTGGTACTGTTGTGTTCCATTTTCCTTGAGTATAACCCACTGAGTATTGTAGATTAGAATATATATTTTTAAATGTAAAGTTATATTGTCTCATCTAAGGTAATATTTGGTTCAGTGAATCAAAGTTTAGGTTTAAATTACTAGTAGTGTGAAACGGCAGCTGAAGAATAAGAAAGCAAGTAGATTAATTGCTCTCTAAATACTTTAGTAGGCAAGATATGAAAAAATGTGTATCTGATATGTGGTTTTGATGTCAGTTTAAGAGCCATTTATACATCTGTAGGTTATGGAAGTCTAACTTAACCTCAACACAGACATGTTTATAAACACTGGAGTTTTTGTATAGTTTTCAGTTGGCTTATTTTACAGTCCTGTGTTCTACCATCATTTTTTACACTGAAAGCTGGACCTGTAAGTTGTTTTTTGTTAAACACAAGAATTTTCTTGAGCGATGCTACCTTTTTTGAAAGTAGTATGGACATAGTATATGGTAAAATTTGACCGCCTTTACCTAAGACCAAGAAACATTTCACCATTATCTTAAACTTGGCTAAAATCATAATTACATTGTTTTTTTTCAGAACTCTTGGTGTGAAGCTGGAAAAAAGAATGCATTAAAAAATACTTGTAAAATGACTCCAACCCCAAGTATCCTGATTGTTCTTTATCAAAGCATTTAATTTTTCATTAAATTGTTACATTCCTGTTTAGTAGCTTTTTTAAACATGCTATCAGAAAGCAAATTCAAGATTTACTAGTGGGATTCTAGTTGTATTTTAATAGTTGTCAAATAATTCTGCTTTATGTATGCTATTCCAAGTACAGTAGACGTTTAGACAAGTATTATCAGTAGTCATAGGGAATTAGGTATAATCTTGATGATTTTACTGAGATGTCTGTGTGAATTCTTGTCTCAGATTTGACTTTCTTTTAAACAAAGTGGTTCTGTGAACTTTCCAGGTCTGTATGTTTTTCTGAGAAATTTACATGATAAGTCCCAGAAGTGGGAACATAATGTGAGACCTGTCAGAGCAGGATTCACTTCAGCATTTTCTATTCCCTAGGAATCTTGTGTTCCTGATGAAGCCAAGCCACTGCAACAAAAATCCAGTAGTTGAGCTGGCTGGACCATTCAGCTCTAGTTGAGATGATATATTTTTTTTAAGCCTTCTCTAAAAACAAAGAAGGAAATAGACTCTTTAGTGTCCTGTTCATTACAAATTCACAGCTGGGGGAGAGAAGGTAGTAGAAGTTACTGTTTAATCAAGTTCATCCTTTAGTTTGCAGCAAAAGCCATGTATCTTGAAAGTTCAAAATAGCAAATGGGCATTTTGAGTCTCCCTAACTTGTTTTAAGTTTTTTTTAATGTTATTTTTTGTTGCCATCTGTATGGATTAATAACAGACCAGGTAGAGTGAATAATTCTAGTGTTTCTTAATAAATAGAAGATTTCTTTACCAGAGGAAATGAAGGATTTGAAAATTAAGCTACTTCAACTATTACAGTCAGTGCCTTGGGGTGGAAGGAAATTCAAGTGTTTTTGTTGAAAATGAGTTCATGTGTAGCTGCATGAACTTCACAAAGTTTTAACAAAAACATTCCTTGTAGTGGAAAATAATTTTGGAGTTGTTTTTTTGTTTGTTGGGTTTTGGGTTGGTTTTTTTTTTGCTTGCTTGCTTACTTTAGAACTACAGCTTCCCATAGGAGTTCTGATGCCTTGAATACCTTCATTACATAGTGATTAAGAGTTAGGAGATGTGGTAAGTGTTTATAATAAAGTGAAATGTTACTGCATGAGAAACATGTAAATAAAAAAATGGTATTTGGGGAAAAGAGACACATCCCCATGGAAGGCTTGTTAGCTTACAGATAAGGCTGAAACATATATTGCTTTGAATCGGCATACTCTGTATGAAAGAGTAGAAAATTAACCATTGGACCTTGATTAGGTTAAAAGGTCTTGCTCTAAGCACATGGGGGAACAACTAAAACAAGTGTAGTTTTCCTTATCTGCTTGGAGATGTATAAATGGGCATTTAAAAATCTGTCTTGAGAGGTCTCTATCATTTGTGTAAGGTGACAGGTATAAATCTTTTCCTTGCAGGCACTGCTTGTGTGCTGAGAGTAGCGATATTTTAGTATTGTGTTTTGGGGTAAAGTGCATCTTACCTGTCTATGTTAAAAAGTAACAGCACAATGGCTGTTCGGCTTAGTGGAAGAATTAAAGCAGTACAGCAGAGGGCAGTGCACATCCACGATACGTTCTGAGTCTGAAATTGTTTTCATCTGCTACCTGTGCTCTGTTACATACCGAGAGAGGTTTTTTGAGCTAACAAGAGAAATTCTTATGTTCCAAATACAACAAAGGCTTGCTACAAAGGCTTGTTTTTTGCTACTGAGTATCCCTGAGAGTTAAGTTGGAAAAAGCTAACTTCATTCTTCTCTTGGAGAAGGGAAGCTGTAAGTACCTTTCTTCAAAACTGCGTGACTATATACGCATCCTTTCTTGATGATATTTATTTAATGAATTGAAGCTTTCCAATAGGGTAAAGAATGCTGAGTACCAGCTGTGGGTTCACATACTTTCCTTGGATTTATATGGCAATATACATCATTCCCTTTTTTTGACTCTATCTTTCAGTTTGGTGGATGTAGCCACATCTGTGTTGGACTCCTTCCAATAGAACTGTTGCATCATCATCTAACATACAGATGTCTATGCTTATAATAAATTCAGTATAATTTAGATATTAAGCAGTAGATACCAAAGTTCATAAAAACAAATTCTTTCCTACTTAATGTTAGAAATGTTTTGGGTTGGTTTTTTTTGCACTATACGATGAGAGTGTCTGCTATCTGGGTGAAATAACTTCTGCTGTCTTTCATGACTGTTTTATGCTTGTGCTAGAAATAGGGTGACACTTTTTTTAAGTAGTCTTAAATAAGATATCTAGATTTTCAGATTTTTAAATGCTGTACCATTCTTCAAGGGCAGGTGTAGAAATTTGTTTGGAAAGAGATACAGGGAATCTTCAGTCAAAACATCCTCATCTATAAGTAATGTTAAAAATTACAAGAATACTTCAATCAGTTTCACAAATGTGCCTTAGCTTATAACCTGAAGGTCACATTATATAATCTATTACATAACAGCAATATTTATTTTCTCTGAGAACCTTCAACTTCCTACTTATCCCGGAGATGAAATATGTTACCAATTGCTGTATGTTTTAATTTTTTGTTTCCAAATCTATAACAGCAGATATTACTGTGACTTGTAAATAGCAAGGCACTGTTTTGCAGCTGAATACCCAGCTTTAGGTAACATCAGTGCCATATTGTAGGATTACAGACTGATTTATATTTTAATGCCAGCATCTGACTTACCAGCTAATGTGCTTTCTGTTGCCTTGGAAGGAAGAGCTGGATGGTTGTGAAGCTGGATTGAGATATGTGAGATGTAGCATGTTCAGTTAACTTCCATGTAATATGCGTTACACTAGTATGTTTCAATTATGTTATGCCTTGCCTTGAAAACACTTTCCTCTGCATTTGTTCCACTCTGGTTTTGATTGCAGAGTTGGGATCTAGCTACTGATATAACATCCAGATATGGATGTCTTCATGTTTGCTAAGCCTTTTAAAGTCTTAGGACAGTCAGTACAGCCATCGTTAGAGCTTAGATAGACCAGTGAAGTCTCCTGTCCCATTTGAGATATCACAGTAACTTCAACTTGCTTTAGACAGACAAAGGTTTCACAAAGGTCCTGTCATATTTGCAGGCTATGTGTAGATATTTTAGGATATCCTGAGACATTCAAATGGCATTCTTGAGTAGCACTGCATGTGTGTGTCTGACCAACTAACTCTCATCCTAGTGACTGGTCAGCTTAATCTTTCAATAATCTTTAGGGACCTACATGTAAATTCAAGTTCCCATTATAGGTTCTCTAAATACAGGTGCTTTGATCTGAACTCTACAGCTGAACTTGCTCTGTAGCAGTAGAGCATGTTGCGACATGGATAAAATTAGGTTATTAATATCTGAGGGCATGTCAAAGTCTGAGGGCTCATAACTTGAAAACCACGTTTGCTTTTAGCATTATGTGTAGATAGGTGAAAGAACAGGACTGTCTTCTCATTTAATGCTTAGAGGTAGAGCTGTGGTCTGTCTTCAGTGTGAAGTGCACCAATTGACATCTGATTTATTCTTCAGTCTGTTAGAAAGGGTTGCCAGGTAAGATGGCAAGGATCTGAACAGTTCCATATGTGAGGTGGCACCATGTGTTTGTACTTTTAGTGCTTTTCAGTTAAAACCATCTATCCCAAAGCAGGTTTGAAGATGACAAAAATGGAAAAACTATAGGATTCAAACCTTCCTTCTATATCATTCTTAGATAAGTACATTAATAAATACATTTATTAATGTTGCAAACTACTACAGTATGTGAAATGCAGTGGGATTTTTAAATATGTTTTTAATGTTACTGGTCTTGATAGAGGAACATGCTTTTTGTTAAAAAAAAAAAAAAAAAAAGAAAAAGCTAACACATACTGTAATCCTTTAGATTTCTCTCTGCAACTCCTATTTGTGATGCCTACCAAAAAGAATATAAACTTCTAGCTGTTGGTCTGCTAAAAAATTTTCTTATAGGTATCTTGAACAATACTTCTCATTTAACAATTCATATCTGACATCTTTTTTTTCCTTACAATATGTCTGCATGGAGTGTATTTTGAGAGCGGACAGCTTGATGTGTGAGGGGGGAAAAATTACAATCCTTAGCACAAGCTGGGCCCTTATCCATTCTATGGATAGTGATGATAAACTTTGCCTCCAGCTGTTGCTGCATACTGAGTTTAAAAACTGTATTCTGAGCAAGTCCTTAACAACTCATCCTACTTTCTTCCATTTTTGTGTAGTCTTAGAAAAGTTATAACACGT